GAGCGGACTACTCTGGCTCCGGAGTGGAGCCGCTGACCGGAGCTGGACTGGACCCCAGTGGAGCGGATTGCTCTGTCTCCGGAGTGGAGCCGCTGACCGGAGCTGGACTAGGCACCGGTGGAGCGGACTGCTCTGGCTCCGGAGTGGAGCAACCGACCGGAGCTGGATCAGGCACCGGTGGAGCGGATTGCTCTAGCTCCGGAGTGGAGACGCTGACCGGAGCAGGACTGGACCCCGGTGGAGCAGAATGCTCTGACTCCGGAATGGAGCCGCTGACCGGAGCTGGATCGGGCCCCGGTGGAGCGGATTGCTCTGTCTCTGGAGTGGAGCCGCTGACCGGAGCTGGACTGGGCACCGGTGGAGCGCACTGCTTTGTCTCCGTAATGGAGCCGCAGACCGGAGCTGGACTTGGCACCGGTGGAGCGGATTGCTCTAGCTCCGGAGTGGAACAACCGACCGGAGCTGGATCAGGCACCGGTGGAGCGGGTTGCTATGACTCCGGAGTGGAGCAAACTTCCGAACCCGTATCCATCCCCATCTCTGGAGCAGGACTAAACGCAGTGCCCAACATGGGCACCGATGCAGAGGAAAATTCCAGCCCTGTAATAGGACTGGTTGCCGGCCCCAGACTGGGCATCGACACGTTTAGGAGCTCCCTGCAGGGGACCGTCGCTGGAGGTCGGTGAGTGGGGAACGTGCAGAAAACATTCCGCCTTCAATTAGGACTTGGTGCTGCCGGATCCCCGCTGTGGCATCTACACATTTAGGAGTCATTTTGCAAGACCGTCCGAGGTCGTTAGTGACGTTGTTGTTGGAGGGTGACGAAACCACCACCCTCGTGCAACCCATGCTCATCAACTGTACTCCACCATGCGCACCATTGCGCCGCTGCTGAGCGCCCCTGGATCCTGCTCGCCTGCTGCCTGTTGGACTACATTCCTCCCAAGATTCGGACGGACCGACTGTACCTGCTGACTCCATTTTAGGTGCGTGTTTCTGTCCTGGAACTGGCTGTGCCGGACTGGGAACACGCGCCACTGGCTTGGTGCGAGGAGCAGGCACGGGCTGTGCCGGACTGGGAACTGGCGTTGAATATGTACGACTGTTCCAGTCCTTCTCTCTCCGCTCCCAATCCTCCTCCAGTGAGGACTCCTCCGGGAGCCCCCACGAGTTAGGGAACAGAAACTCATCGTCGTCGTCATCCTCCGACCCAATCCTGTTCCCATGGTCGTAGGGACTCCAACTGGAACCCCACCGGGTGCAGTGGTCGGGGATCTTCTCTCTCGATCCGCAGGTCTTGGAGGACCTCCTCCTCTCTCGTCAGCCCTTTCCCGGCCTCCTGCTGCCTCGTCGTCCACCCCGTGAGCCCCCCTTCAACATTTTCTCTGACCTGGGCCTCCACTGTCTCCTCCCAAGGACGGTGATCCATCCCCACCTGTGTCCAGGGTGTCTGCTCCTGGGCAAGCTGCTTGGTCCATTTTTGGTGGGATCTTCTGTCACGTTCGTTGAAGGACGGGTCAGACCAAGGCGCAGCGTGAAATGGATACATGTTTATTTAACAGAATAAACATACAAAACAACAAAAGGCAACGAACCGTGACGTCGGAAGGCTGTACACTCTAACAAGCCAACTCACCGAACACAAACAAGATCCCACAACACAGGCAGGAAAACTGGCTGCCTAAGTATGATCCCCAATCAGAGACTCTGATTGGGAATCACACCCGGCCAAACATAGACATACAAAACCTAGATCTAATCATAGATCTACCACAACATAGAACTCAACATGCACACCCTGACCAAACTAACTAGAGTTCTAGAGGTCAGGGTGTGACACAAATGCTCACTAACAGAGATGTAACAGGGATGTAAACAAATATGTGCACAACATTTGAGAGAAATAAGCTATTTGTGTGTATGGAACATTTCTGGAATCTTTTATTTCAGCTCATGAAACATGGGACCACCAATTTACATGTTGGTACAGCACTCTCACAAACAGGTGGCACACATTTTGCCTCTTACAATGCAGGCCTCAAAATATGTTAATGAGACAGAAATAACAATACCATGAAACCACTAGTGGTCAAAAGGTTTTTCCGCTCCAAGAATACGGTACGGTACTGTATTCGGGGGGGGGGGGGGGGGGATTACAATACCGTTCTAAATACAGCAATTATTTCCCTGCCCACAACATTTTCCCACAATGCACCAAGGCTTTACAGTATGTGACTGTTGATCAATGTACACATTTACTGTATAAGTCATCGTTTTCCATAACAGTGTAATATTTGGTATAACTAATTTAATAAATCATATAAATGTTGCACATACCTTGTTTGGTTGGTTCACTTCAGACCTTTATGCCTCTCAATCTTATCACTCAGAATTGAAAAAGTTTCCTGTTGCCAATCCCACAATGCTGTGCGGTTACAGTAATGTACTGTTAAACCAGAGTTTATGCCTAAAATCATCTCTTCAACCTCAGGAGGCTGAAGAAATTTGGCCTGTCACCTAAAACCCTCACAAACTTTTACAGATGCACAATTGAGAGCATCCTGTCTGGCTGTATCACCGCCTGGTACGGCAACTGCACCGCCCACAACCGCAGGGCTCTCCAGAGGGTGGTGCGGTCTGCCGAACACATCACCGGGTTCAAACTACCCGCCCTCCAGGACACCTACAGCAGCCGATGTCACAGGAAGGCCAAAAAGATCATCAAGGACAACTCCCCGAGCCACTGCCTGTTCACCCCACTATCATCCAGAAGGCGAGGTCAGTACAGGTGCATAAAAGCTGGGGCCGAGAGACTGAAAAGCAGCTTCTATCTCAAGGCCATCAGACTGTTAAACAGCCATCACTAGCACAGAGAGGCTGCTGCCTACATACAGACTTGAAAATCACTGGCCACTTTAATAAATGGAACACTAGTCACTTTAATAATGCCACTTTAATAATGTTTACATAGCTTGCATTACCCATCTCATATGTATATACTGTATCCATTTGTGTGTACCTGTGTGCGACTGTGTGACAGATACAGAGATGGATAAAGCTATCAAGATGTTGGAGTGCACTTCCATATGCTACACAAGGCCGCTTTACAAAAGGTCACAGAAACAGATTTGGTCTCAATGACTTGTCCCTATTGACATGACAATAATTCTCCAAAGCTGAGCATCACATTAAATCACTACACCCAACTGGAATAAAAAATAAGCTGCAGCTAGTAGCTGCATTGGTAACGTTTTCTTTACAATGACAATGTAAAGGATACATTTGTATCATCCCTGTCCTAGAGCAGAGTCATACAAGTCCAGCTAAATGAATGCAAATATATACAGTGTGATCAGTATATGAGGCTTCTCGCATTCCCAGTGTGTAAACGTTGCTCTCGTCTGAAGGGCTCTAGTCTGAAGGAAAAGGGGATATATTTGATTTATTATACAGTATTAGAATACTGTAGAATACTGTATAATACTGTATATATAGAATACTGTATAATACTGTATATATAGAATACTGTATAATACTGTATATATAGAATACTGTATAATACTGTATATATATAGAATACTGTATAATACTGTATATATAGAATACTGTATAATACTGTATATATAGAATACTGATTCTGAGGAAAGCAATGTATTTTATTTTAGAGTTACTGTATTAAAGACAAGTTGTTGTAAACTGTATGGCCATTTATCTGTACTACCTGATTACAATGAATACATGTACTATCCCAGACCAAAGGACTAGCAGTGCTAATCTCAAAATGTGTGTTTATGAATGGGGTTGAGGGCAGAGCAGAAGAAGCATTTTGGATGTAACAGGTGGACGAATATAGTTGTGTTATATTGTATAGTATTGTGTCGTATTCTATCATATCGTATTGGAATCTCTGATAAAAAAAAATGCCAATGTCTGACTCCAATAGCAGACAAAGTAGGAGGTCTACCACCAACAGGAGTTTCAAACCCCCACCGTCACCAACACCATCACAATCACTAGCACCACCCAGACATGCCCCGGGGCAGCAGCACAAACAGCCTTTTGAGGGGCTCTGAGAGGCTGACGTGGACCAAACCAGGGACCTGTGACCATATGGACGAGGCCCAGCCCAGGGACCCGTGGCCATAAGGACGAGGCCCAGCCCAGGGACCCGTGGCCATAAGGACGAGGCCCAGCCCAGGGACCCGTGGCCATAAGGACGAGGCCCAGCCCAGGGACCCGTGGCCATAAGGACGAGGCCCAGCCCAGGGACCCGTGGCCATAAGGACGAGGCCCAGCCCAGGGACCCGTGGCCATAAGGACGAGGCCCAGCCCAGGGACCCGTGGCCATAAGGACGAGGCCCAGCCCAGGGACCCGTGGCCATAAGGACGAGGCCCAGCCCAGGGACCCGTGGCCATAAGGACGAGGCCCAGCCCAGGGACCCGTGGCCATAAGGACGAGGCCCAGCCCAGGGACCCGTGACCATATGGACGAGGCCCAGCCCAGGGACCCGTGGCCATAAGGACGAGGCCCAGCCCAGGGACCCGTGGCCATAAGGACGAGGCCCAGCCCAGGGACCCGTGGCCATAAGGACGAGGCCCAGCCCAGGGACCCGTGACCATATGGACGAGGCCCAGCCCAGGGACCCGTGGCCATAAGGACGAGGCCCAGCCCAGGGACCCGTGACCATAAGGACGAGGCCCAGCCCAGGGACCCGTGACCATAAGGACGAGGCCCAGCCCAGGGACCCGTGGCCATAAGGACGAGGCCCAGCCCAGGGACCCGTGGCCATAAGGACGAGGCCCAGCCCAGGGACCCGTGGCCATAAGGACGAGGCCCAGCCCAGGATCTACGTAGGAGACATACTGTATGCGCCACTTAGCAGATGTTTATATATTTTTTAGTACGTACTTTACATGTGATCTTTTGAACCCATGACCTTGGCACAGCCCAGGAGGACCATCCTCTCATCACGTTGACTGAGGCTCACCCATTATTAACAATGTATGAAGTTGACAAGCCCAGTAGTGACATCTACTGTCACGAGAATGTGGGTTCAAGTCCCGCAGGGGATCCCATGCAAATACTAAAATGTGCTTTATGCACTCGCTGTACTGTAAGTCACAACAATAAAAGTGTCTGCTACACACTTTTCAGTGTTAAATTAACACACTGCTTAGTGTAAATCCTTATTTGCATATTTCCCAGAGTACAATTCACCAGAAAGGAAAGGCAGAGTTACCACCCATGACTGTATTTGTTAGTGATAGAGACGTGGTTGTTGCGGTCTCTTTTTAAAAAAAAATGTTGTGGCCTTCACCAAGTGAGATCCTAAATGAATATATTAACATTAAAATTACATTATTTATCACAATACAAAGTATTTAATAAGGTCTTATTCTGAGGGCCTAGTTTTACCATAATACAGTGGCCTGAAACTCATGGTTTTCAGGCCTGCAAGTCACATTATGATGGCTTGCAAAGTGATGTGTAATTCCTATTGGAATCCAGCCAGAGTGGAGATATCCAACATTTGGAATTTCTATTCACCCGGAACATGTATTCAGAATGACTGCCAGGGTTGGGAAGACCAAAATATGAGACTAACCAAACCATCTAAACTGGAACAACCATTTCAGTAACGGGTGCAATAAGTCCAAGTAATAGATTGGATTAGTTTAGACAAATGTATGTTATTTACAGTACCTTCGGAAAGTTTTCACACCCCTTTACTTTTTCCACATTTTGTTTTGTTACAGCCTCAATTTAAAACTGATACCCCATAATGTCAAAGTGGAATTATGTTTTTCGATAAAAAAAAAAACAACTAATTAATTAAAAATTAAAACCTGAAATGTCTTGTGTCAATACGTATTCAACTCCTTTGTTTTACGGCAACCCTAAAGAAGTTCAGGAGTAAAGATTTGCTTAACAAGTCACATAAGCTGCATGGACTCACTCTGTGTGCAATTATAGTGTTTAACATGATTTTTTTGAATGACTACCTCATCTCTGTACCCCCACACAATTAATTATCTGTAAGGTCCCTCGAGAAGTTAATTTAAAACACAGATTCAACAACAAAAAACTATTTTATTTTATAAACAATACAAAACATCCACATACAAACGACAACATCATACAAACATCCACAACATCATACAAACGACAACATCATACAAACATCCACAACATCATACGAACGACAACATCATAAAAACATCCACAACATCAGAAAAACGACAACATCATAAAAACATCCACAACATCATACAAACGACAACATCATACAAACATCCACAACATCACCCCTGCCCAGACTCCTCCTACTCCCACCATCTCCAGCACCTGTATCACTCTCCATCACATGGCCTCAAACTGCACCATTATGTTTCTCTCCATAGCCCACGCACTTTCAACATTTAGTTAATAAAAGCATTTGACTTTTCCATTGTGTTAACGATGGAGGATTGGTTGATTTCCAGTTTTTAAGTATACTTAAAAAAAAAAAAAAAAATATATTGACGAGAAAAGTATCGTCCAACACATCGTGTATCTCATTGCACCCTCACACACCATGTCTTGAGATATGCAGACAGACGGATTAAAAGTACATTTAAATTGTAATACATCTGACAGCCAACTTTCTAGCTCCGCCCATAACTTTTGGACATTATAACATTCCCAGAAAGCATGGATTATTGAGTCATCATTAGTTTTACACTTCAGACACGTTGTGCTGTAGAACTTGTGAATTTTGTCTCTTGTATATCAAATTCTATACATTAGTTTATACTGGATTAAGCGTACATTTTCATTAACTGTAATGTTGTTAGTTATGTTCCAACATTCCCTCCATCTTCTGCCAATATCAGTTCTTTTTACGTCTTGGTTCCAATAGTTTATATTTTTTTCTAAGAGATTGTCAGTTGGATAGGCTCTCTGCAAGGTTTGGTATATCTTATCTATCATATGAATATCCTTTTCTGACTCAAATAGGATTCCCTCTAGATTGCTCAGATGTCCAAAAGATTTCAATTAGAAATATTGTGATATAAAACTTTTAAGTTGAATATATTTTGAAAATGTCTACATTAGTCAGTTCAAAATGGCTTTTTAAAGCTGTCATGGAAATAAATGTATTACCTATTACCGCGTAATTTACCTGTGCACTTATTTTTTTCATGTGGACCAATTTATCGGTGAATTCTGAAAAGCTATCCAAGGAATGTTCCATAGGGTTGTGTGTTTAGGGAGTGATATTGTTTCTTGTAGAATACGTTTCATTTTCTTCCATATTGTTACAGTATTCTTTTTAAAATAATATGTTTATTATTTTCCAATAGGAAAAGAAGAAGACAGAGATAGAAACATTGACATTCATTGGAGTGTTGAATGGGACGGCACATTGAGGACAAAACAAAACTTAACTCACACATACAAAAATACATATAAGAAGACAGCATATAGTCTTTATAAGCAGTGTAGTTAAACCAAAAATAAATATTGAGTGGAGTACAGCGCAGAGTAGCAGCAGATCATCAACCCAGTTATGAAAGGGGGAATAGACCATTCATCCAGTATTGGCTGCCATATTTGGTAAAACATTGGACTTCTATTGGAGGTATTGTATCGAATCTTTTCCATATGCATTACATTCCCTTAGTCCCGTAACCACATTCCCAGGTAGTCTGCAATTTCCAAAATTGCAATATGAGCCTTTTGGCTAATGGAGTACAATAGAGAGACAGCCTTCCCTTCCTGGTTATTCCCATCAACTGTACCAAACAGAGTGATCAATGGGTCTGGGGCCATAACTCTATCAAAGGCTTTAGATAAGTAATAACCAATGAGAGCCCTGTAAGCATGTAACAACTTAGGACACAATGAGTGGGTCAAAGTCCCCTCATCCTGCTTGCACCTCTCACACAGTGGTGAGGTGTCTGGGAATATTTTATGAAGTTTAACTTTGGAGGAACGTAACCTGTGTACAAGGTTGTGTCTGGCGTTCACTGAACTGTGTGGATTATATTCCTGAGAGCTTCAACACGGTCCTCATCTGAGATTTCTGAACCAATGTTCCTGCTCCCAAGCCCTTTTTAATAGTGTCTGTGGATACCTCTATGTGGGCCTGTTAGCACATCATAAAGTCTAGACACCGACCCTTTTGAATGGGGTTTGACAAGGATAAGGCTATCTAATGTAGGATTATTTGGCTTAATGCCATTCGGTGGGACATGTGTCCTTAAGATATTCCTGATTTGGAGGTATCTGAAAAAAAATGTGTTGCTGGCATGTTAAACTTACCCTGTAAATTGTTGAAATGAAGCTAAATGACCATCAATGTATAAGTTATTGATTGTTGTGAGCCCCTTCTCCCTCCACTGTGAAAACACCATATCATCCAATGCAGGGTGGAAAGCATGATTCAGACAAATTGGGCTGTCAATGTTCACAGATCGTATTGTTAGGTTCTGAACAAACTGAGTAAAAACTAAAATGGACAACTAGGAAAAAGATCAAACCAAGTTTATTCACCCACTGGGTCATACAGCTGCAAAGACAAGGCATGATCACACAATCACATATATCTACATAACCTTCTAATAGGCCTGGTCCTTACACATCTAGACAACCAATACATCTCTGTTGCTAGGCAGAAATTTAATTGGTTCCTCTCACTGGTGTAGTCAAAGCCCTGCCAGTTACTGAAACCTTTGCGGGCGTGGAAAGTATGTAATAATAATAATAATAATAATAATAATAATAATAATAATATTATTATTTGTGTGAGATAGTACTGCAACAGGAGAGACATTGTGGTGGGCCTCTCTGGCCCCCCTCCCAGAGGTTTCTTCTCACTTCATCTGTTGATTTGACCTCGAGACGCATTCCTCCCTCCTCCCTATTTTCCGCAGCCGGCCTGCCTTAGAGACTAACAAGGTAGAAGGATTACTTTTATCCTATCCCAGGTATTCCTTAAAGAGGTGGGGTTTCAAGTGTCTCCGGAAGGTGGTGAGTGACTCCGCTGTCCTGGCGTCATGAGGGAGCTTGTTCCACCATTGGGGTGCCAACATATACATTCCTTATACATGTAAAGTAAAAAATGCGTAACATGAATCAGTACATTTCAAGCTAGAGTCAAAAAGTATGTTAAGAAAATACCTAATTTGTTTCCAGATCCTAAGAGTGTGACAAATGACTGGGTTAGAGTCATAAGTGTCATTTTTCACATATGCTGGGCTATTAACAAGTGCAGGGAGTGAGGAACGTTGACAAGAGGCCTGCTCAATCTTAAGCCATGAAGGCATATCATTCTGTCGGATCGAAGGTAAACTTTCCCTCCAGAAAGACACAATGTTCAGATTAGCAGCCCAATAATTCAGTTTAAAGTGAGGAAGGCCAAACCCCTCCTCTATCTTGTACTTGCATAAATGCTTCTTTCAAATTCTAGCTGCCTTGTTATCCCATAAGAATGGAATTACTATTGAATCCAGTTTCTTAAAACAGCTTTGTGGTATGAAATTGGGTAGACGTTATAGTGTTCTTAACTATGAAATTATGAATGTTCTTAGGTTTGTTTATTGACAATAGACATGTACAAAGAAGACCAGGGAGGTTTTCCAATGCCTTGCAAAGAATGGCAAATCTAATACAACACATTACTGAGTTCCGCTCTCCATATTTTCAAGCATAGTGGTGGCTTCATCATGTTATGGGTATGCTTGTAGTCGTTAAGGACTGGGGAGTTTTTCAGGATAAAAAACATTAATGGAATGGAGCTAAGCACAGGCAAAATCCAAAAGGAAAACCTGGTTCAGTCTGCTTTCCACCAAACACTGGGAGATGAATTCACCTTTCAGCAGGATAATAACCTAAAACACAAGGCCAAATCTACACTGGAGTTGCTTACCAAGAAAACAGTGAATGGTCCTGAGTGGCCGAGTTACAGTTTTGACTTAAATCTACTTGAAAATCTATGGCAAGACCTGAAAATGGTTGTCTAGCAATGATCAACAACCAACTTGACAGAGCTTTAAGAAATTAAACAATTATAATGTGCAAATATTGCTCAATCCAGGTGTGGAAAGCTCTTAGAGACTTACCCAGAAAGACTCACAGCTGTAATCACTGCCAAAGGTGCTTCTACAAGTATTCTCAGGGGTGAGAATACTTATGTAAATTAGATATTGCTGTATTTCATTTTCAATAAACGTGTAAATATTGCTAAAAACCTGTTTTCACTTTTTCATTATGGGGTATTGTGTTTAGATGAGTGAGAAAAAAGTATATTTAATCCACGTTGAAGTCAGGCTGTAACACAACAAAATGTGACAAGATTAATTAATCAATGTACATGCAAAAACATAGATATTGAAACCAACAATTATAAAAATCTACCTGCAATAGAGCATCCTGGGAAATATGATAATGATGGGCGTGGTTTTGGGATCAGTGGCCGTAGTGCGGAGGAGCGAGGTCGGGTGAGGTTGTGTTTTCTCTAGCAGGAGGTAAGCTTGGCTTCTTATATGGTGTTGAGTAAAGCTTAAACCATGTATTTAGATTGTAGGTAGGTATTGTAGTTAGGTATTGTAGGTAGGTAGGTAGGTAGTTATTGTAGGTTATTGTAGGTAATTATTGTATTCGGCTGAGCCCGGCGAAGCACGAGGCTAGCTAACCCACTACCTGGACCAATAAAGCTAGCTAGCTAGCGGGTAGCTACTGGTAACTTTTAGCAACTGTGGATAGTTGTTTCCAATGTTATTTCACGCTTAAGAGTACCTGTAATTAAGCCAGCTAGCTACCTACCATTCAGCTGTTTTTCTAACCTCATTATCTGAAGCATTAACGTTAGGTAGTTAGTAGCTACTGTACTTAATTACAGCTACTGATTGCAGAAGACCAATGTATTCTTGTCTGCCACCCAGACAGCTGGCGTCGGGTAAGTTTGGCTTTATACATAGCTTGGGCTTTGTCGAGTAAGGCTTAAACTATGTATTTAGATTGTAGTTAGGTATTGTAGGTAGGCATCGTGGGTTGTTGTGGGTAGTTATTGTATGTAATTATTGTAGGTTCGTATTGTATTCAGCGGTGCCGGGTGTAGCACGAAGCTAGCTAGCTAGCTAACTCACCTCCTGGACTAGCTGGCGAGTAGCTATTAGCAACAGTAGCAACTAAATACAATATCCTTTTAGCCAGCTACATTTGTTCGCAGCGACGCCGTTTTTCAAACAAAGTCATCACCGCAGCCATTGCTAGCTAGCCAACGCTACCAGCTAGCAGTACTATAGCAACTAAATACAATATAATTTTAGCCAGCTACATTCGTTCGCAGCGACGCCGTTTTTCGAACAAAGTCAACACAGCAGCCATTGCTAGCTAGCCAACACTACCAGCTAGCTGTACTGTAGCAGCTAAATACAATATATTTGTGCTAGCTAGCCAACGTTTAATTATTGCTGCGTTATGAAAGGAACTAGACAAGGACACTAATTATCTGTTTAGTGTGTTAACACACTATTGGTAGTTTGTTGTAACCAAGTATTGGTGCTAAACTGTGTGTTATTGGATGCTAGCATGCTAGTTAGCTATGGCCTCATAGTTAGCTAGCTGAATAAAGTAAGTTGAGTCTATTCCTTGAAACATTGAACCGCTGTAGTTTACAACAATTCTAATTTCTAAAGTGGAAGTTGGGAGAGTTTTATTCGGGTGGTTCAGTGAAACAATTATAGTTTCTGAGGTGGAAGCTGGGAGAGTTATATTTGGGAGTTTTGGTGAGGGAGGCCCTGCTCTCTCCTTTCCCAGATGTTTAGTTCATTTCATTCCGATCTCCTCTGCATTATTGTAGCCATCTGCTACAGCCTGTCAACTATGCCTCTGCCTATCCCTGTTCTCTCCTCTCCGCACAGGCTACACAAACGCCTCACACCGCGTGGCTGCTGCCTCTCTAACCTGGTGGTCCCTGCACGCACCACACACCTGGAGTTCCAGGTCTCAGGCAGCCTCTGAAACTGCCGTTCTGTTGCCAACAAGGCTGCCTTCATCCCAGCCTATGCTACCCTCCAGTCCCTCGACTTCCTGGCGCTGACGGAAACATGGATTACCACTGAAAACACTGCTACTCCTACTGCTCTCTCCTCGTCTGACCATGTGTTCTCGCATACCCCGAGAGCATCTGGTCAGAGGGGTGGTGGCACAGGAATCCTCATCTCTCCCAAGTGGACATTCTCAATTTTTCCCCTAACCCATCTGTCTATCTCCTCATTTGAATTCCATGCTGTCACAGTCACTAGCCCATTTAAGCTTAATATCCTTGTCATCTATCGCCCTCCAGGTTCCCTTGGAGAGTTCATCAATGAGCTTGACGCCTTGATAAGTTCCTTTCCTGAGGATGGCTCACCCCTCACAGTTTTGGGGGATTTCAACCTCCCTACGTCTACATTTGACTCATTTCTCTCTGCCTCCTTCTTTCCACTCCTCTCCTCTTTTGACCTCACCCTCTCACCGTCCCCCCCTACTCACAAGGCAGGCAATACGCTTGACCTCATCTTTACTAGATGCTGCTCTTCTACTAATCTCACTGCAACTCCCCTCCATGTCTCCGACCACTACTTTGTATCCTTTTCTCTCTCGCTCTCCTCCTACACTACTCACTCTGCCCCTACACAGATGGTAATGCGCCGCCGCAACCTTCGCTCTCTCTCTCCCACTACTCTCTCCTCTTCCATCCTATCATCTCTTCCCGCTGAGCGGAAATGGAAGAAAACTAGACTCCCTGCGGACCTGGCATCTTTTCACTCCCTCCTCTCTACATTTTCTTCATCTGTTTCTGCTGCTAAGGCCACTTTCTACCACTCTAAATTCCAAGCATCTGCCTCTAACCCTAGGAAGCTCTTTGCCACATTCTCCTCCCTGCTGAATCCTCCCCCCCCCCCCCCCCCCCCCCCCTGTGGATGACTTCGTCAACCACTTTGAAAAGAAGGTTGACGACATCCGATCCTCGTTTGTTAAGTCTAATGACACTGCTGGTCCTGCTCACACTGCCCTACCCTATGCTTTGACTTCTTTCTCCCCTCTCTCTCCAGATAAAATATTGCGACTTGTGACTGCAGGCCGCCCAACAACCTGCCCGCTTGACCCCATCCCCTCCTCTCTTCTCCAGACCATCTCCGGTGACCTTCTCCCCTACCTCACCTCGCTGATCAACTCATCCTTGACCGCTGGCTATGTCCCTTCCGTCTTCAAGAGAGCGAGAGTTGCACCCCTTCTCAAAAAACCAACACTCGATCCCTCTGATGTCAACAACTACAGACCAGTATCCCTTCTTTCTTTTCTTTCCAAAACTATTGAGCGTGCCGTCTTTAGCCAACTCTCTTGCTATCTCTCTCAGAATTACCTTCTTGATCCTAACCAGTCAGGTTTCAGGACTGGTCATTCAACTGACTGCTCTTCTCTGTGTCACGGAGGCTCTCCGCACTGCTAAAGCTAACTCTCTCTCCTCTGCTCTTGTCCTTCTAGACCTGTCTGCTGCCTTTGATACTGTGAACCATCAGATCCTCCTCTCCACCCTCTCCGAGCTGGGCATCTCCGGCGCGGCTCACTCTTGGATTGCGTCCTACCTGACCGGTCGCTCCTACCAAGTGGCGTGGCGAGAAGCTGTCTCCGCACCACGTGCTCTCACCACTGGTGTCCCCCAGGGCTCAGTTCTAGGCCCTCTCCTATTCTCGCTATACACCAAGTCACTTGGCTCTGTCATATCCTCACATGGCCTCTCCTATCATTGCTACGCTGACGATACACAACTAATCTTCTCCTTTCCCCCTTTCTGATAACCAGGTGGCGAATCGCATCTCTGCATGTCTGGCAGACATATCAGTATGGATGACGGATCACCACCTCAAGCTGAACCTTGGCAAGACGGAGCTGCTCTTCCTCCCGGGGAAGGACTGCCCGTTCCATGATCTCGCCATCACGGTTAACAACTCCGTTGTGTCCTCCTCCCAGAGTGCGAAGAGCCTTGGCGTGACCCTGGACAATACCCTGTCATTCTCCGCTAACATCAAGGCGGTGACCCGATCCTGCAGGTTCATGCTCTACAACATTCGGAGAGTACGACCCTGCCTTACACAGGAAGCGGCACAGGTCCTAATCCAGGCACTTGTCATCTCCCGTCTGGATTACTGCAACTCGCTGTTGGCTGGGCTCCCTGCCTGTGCCATTAAACCTCTACAACTCATCCAGAATGCCGCAGCCCGTCTGGTGTTCAACCTTCCCAAGTTCTCTCACGTCACCCCGCTCCTCCGCACACTCCACTGGCTTCCAGTTGAAGCTCGCATCTGTTACAAGACCATGGTGCTTGCCTATGGAGCTGTGAGGGGAACGGCACCTCCGTACCTTCAGGCTCTGATCAGTCCCTACACCCAAACGAGGGCATTGCGTTCATCCACCTCTGGCCTGCTGGCTCCCCTTCCTCTGCGGAAGCATAGTTCCCGCTCAGCCCAGTCAAAACTGTTCGCTGCTCTGGCACCCCAATGGTGGAACAAGCTCCCTCACGACGCCAGGACAGCGGAGTCACTCACCACCTTCCGGAGACATTTGAAACCCCACCTCTTTAAGGAATACCTGGGATAGGATAAAGTAATCCTTCTACCCCCCCCCCCCCCCCCCTCTTAAAAAAAAAATTGTAAAGTGGTTATCCCAATGGTTATAGGGTGAATGCACCAATGTGTAAGTCGCTCTGGATAAGAGCGTCTGCTAAATGACGTAAATGTAAATGTAAATGTTAACACTGGTTATTAACAACAACGCTGGGGCTCTTTTAAACCAATTAATGTTAATCGAACACTTACACTAGAAATGTTACACTGAAAAATCAACACTAGATACATTTGCTGTGTAAGGAGTGATGTGAGTCGAGGGGGCATGAGTTGATGGTTTGAACCAGAGATTAAAATACCTCTTTTACAGGGTTGGGGTCAATTCCAATTCAGTCAATTCAGGAAGTAAACTGAAATAGAAATGGAATTTCAGGTTACTTCATGAATCGACTGAATTGAAATGGAATTGGAATTTCAGTATACTTCCTGAATTGACTGAATAGAAATGGAATTCAGTCAATTCAGGAAGTAAACTGAAATTCCAATGTTCCTCAATGCTTTCCCTTTACTTCCTGACCCGAATTGACTGAACTTGAATTGAAATGGACCACAACCCCTTATAGTTTTGTGTGTCGTTAGGTATGCAGCCAAAGATGAAAGAGGACACTCCAGGCTCATCACATCATCCACGTCCTGAACGCAGCGGATGGGAAGTTTAATGTGAACACGGGGACCAGCTACTACAGGGACACTACAATCACCATGGACTGGAGGCATTCCACATGGCCTCCTCTGACCTCAACGCCGCCTTCTGCTCTGCAGACCGCCCTGAGCTCGCCCAACGGTACGCGATCAATCAAATCAATCAAATCCGTTTACATCATCAGCTGTCACAGTGTTTTACAGTTACCTGACCTAAGAAGCTTTTTACTGAAACAGAAGGCTTTACATTTACTCTATATGCTATGTATCATTTTGTCTAACATTACCATTGAAATTACATTGTGAATTAATTATATTCGTCTGTCAGTTCTAACTCCCGTTCCATTCCATTAGCAGATAAAACGCAAATCATAAAGCTGCCGAAACATAATAATCAAGCTAATATCGTACCCCACAGTAACCTCCTCATAAACCGGGGACACTGGGCAGGAAAATTGGTTTTAAAATGGATTGCCCTGGTAATTTGTAAGCAACACTTTCATTGGACACGGAAATTACACCATTATGTTTGTGGCCTTGTGCTGTAACAGAGCTGCTACTTCCTGTCCCCGTTATGCAGAGTGATCCAATATCTGACCTGCCAGTAATTAGATGACGGCTGTCTCCCAAATGGCACCCTGTCGCCCATTCCAATTCCACCATGGGACCCTAGTAAATAGCAGTGCACCGTGTAGGGAATAGGTTGATATTTGGGATGCGCTCGATGCCTCCCCTCCCAGTCTTCCTTCACGTGCCGGCTGGCTGATCGGACTAGTGCTCCACAGTGCGTAGCGAGGCCTTGAGTAATCCCTGGCAGAAACACAGCCTGGAAGACAGTTCAATTACCCGCTCCTATGGGCCCTAAGCCCCAACGTAGGATAAGAGAAACCACGGATTACCGTGTGTAGAAACATTTGTTGCAACATTGTTGAAAGAAAACTTTTGGGGAGGAAAGCTATTTAAAAAGTACTCCATTTTGCTGAAATTAAGCCTACAGGTCTGTAATGCAGAGTTTGACACAAATGACACAATATGAACTGAACACCAAGTAGTCCATGAGGTGTTCTTCTACTACGTAAATGGGACACTTTAAATGAGACCCCTGTTGCCAGGGATTTGGGTGAGCTGACACCACTTAGGTAGGGAATGAAATTATTTTTACCTACGTAAGTAAGTATTACACATGTAATGGAATTACCTTTGTACCCGTCTTCTTCTTCTTCTTCTAAATATAACTGAATGAGAGCTGACTACTAAGTGTGCCTACCTTTCTTAGCTCGCCCCAGCCCTGGCAGGTAAGGTGTTGGTCCACTGTGCAATGGGTCTGAGTCGTCCCTCCAGTCTGGTCCTGGCCTAAAAAATGGTCCTGGCCTACCTGATGATCGATGAGAACCTGTCCCTGGTGGATCCCATTAAGGCTGCCAACAGAAACATCTGTTCCGATGCTGGATTCCTGGAGCGGCGCCGAGACCTGGACAGCCAAGTCCACTACCTGGCTAGATGACAATGAGGGCATCTATAGGCACTTTTGATTTACTGTAGACTGGTGCACTAGTAGGAGGCAACTATATACTCATAGTATAGACTGGTACACTAGTAGGAGTCAACTGTATACTCATAGTATAGACTGGTACACTAGTAGGAGTCAACTGGATACTCATAGTATAGACTGGTGCACTAGTAGGAGTCAACTGTATACTCATGGTGTAGACTGGTACACTAGTAGGAGTCAACTGTATACTCATAGTGTAGACTGGTGCACTAGTAGGAGACAACTGTATACTCATGGTGTAGACTGGTGCACTAGTAGGAGTCAACTGTATACTCATAGTGTAGACTGGTGCACTAGTAGGAGACAACTGTATACTCATAGTGTAGACTGGTGCACTAGTAGGAGACAACTGTATACTCATAGTATAGACTGGTACACTAGTAGGAGTCAACTATATACTCATAGTATAGACTGGTGCACTAGTAGGAGACAACTGTATACTCATAGTATAGACTGGTGCACTAGTAGGAGTCAACTGTATACTCATAGTGTAGACTGGTACACTAGTAGGAGTCAACTGTATACTCATAGTATAGACTGGTGCACTAGTAGGAGACAACTGTATACTCATAGTGTAGACTGGTACACTAGTAGGAGTCAACTGTATACTCATAGTATAGACTGGTGCACTAGTAGGAGTCAACTGTATACTCATAGTATAGACTGGTGCACTAGTAGGAGACAACTGTATACTCATAGTGTAGACTGGTGCACTAGTAGGAGTCAACTGTATACTCATAGTGTAGACTGGTGCACTAGTAGGAGACAACTGGATACTCATAGTATAGACTGGTGCACTAGTAGGAGTCAACTGTATACTCATTCTGTACACCAGGGCTGCCCAACCCTCTTCCTGGAGATCTACTGTCCTGTAGGTTTTCAGTCCAACCCTAATTTAGCGTATCTGATTCAGCTCGTTAAGGTCTTGTTGAGCAGCTAATAAGTAGAATCAGGTTTGTTAAATTAGGGTTGGACTGAAAACCCACAGGACGGTAGATCTCCAGGAAGAGGGTTGGGCAGCACTGCTCTCGATGGTTGAGCTGTTTTATTCTTTAGTATAAAGATATTTGTCAGAAATAAAATCAACACATTCAGCTTTTATCATTCAAAGACTTGTGTGAGATAACTGTTGCTTCACAATGAGAAGAAACATGTCTACATTCAGAGACAACGCATAAACCCATGGTACATTTACATTTTACATTTTAGTCATTTAGCAGACGCTCTTATCCAGAGCGACTTACAGGAGCAATTAGGGTTAAGTGCCTTGCTCAAGGGCACATCGACAGATTTTTCACCTAGTCGGCTCAGGGATTAGAACCAGCGACCTTTCGGTTACTGGCACAACGCTCTTACCCACTAGACTACCTGCCGCCCAAAGTAAAGTAAGTACTGAACACCGCCCAAAGTAAAGTAAGTACTGAACACTCGTTCGTTACCAGCAACGCCCTTCTTACTACAACAACCAGCATTACAAATGACAGATTGCGAAGAGCACCAAATGCTAACGATGACAGTATGAAGAACAAGTCCTCTAATTAGCTTCAATTAGCAGAATCACATCTGGAGGGGTAGTTATGTTCTCTCCACCACCTGCTGTTAATGTGCTACAACAGCAGGTCCCTGGCCTCCACCACTGCTCTGCCATCAGAGAGAAACACAGCCCAGAACCACCCACCCTGCCTGGGCCAAAGGATTCTCAGCTTCTCCCCAACACTGGATGTCTACGCCAACTGTACCCAGTGGTGGACTGGGACCAGAAATCGTCCCTGGCATTTCTAACACACTGCCCCCTTTTTTCCCCCTTGAGGCCGCAACACCCGACTACTTTTCCCCAGAGGCTCCCATCATTAGCCAAATAATTATAATTTTTGCAACGAACAACCCAAGTTAGACAGGGCCACTGGGCTAAAATGGAACAGCCCATCTGGCATTTGACCGAAACGCAAGATGGCCAGTCCGCGCCCGACTGTACCATCTGGACACGTCCTTAGCTCTGGAAAGGACAGGGGAAATGAATAATGACTCCTGGTATAAATGTGAAAGACGATTGCTGTTCGTTATCACAACACGTCTGGTCTCTCCTACAAAAGAGCCCTAACATCTTATATTCTTGTGGTTCTATGTTTGCTTGATAGAAATATATCAATACAGACCAACGGATAACAACAGACAGAACAACATGTAGGTGACATTGATGTGTCTTGCATGCATACGTTTATCCAGAAATAACATTACACTTATTTCAGTCACTTTATCTCCCTGAATAATGTGTCTAAACTGTTAAAAATCTACACGGAAGCTGTTAAAACGTAAATATCTCACAGTTAGAGGGATGATTTACCGTGACAGAAATATGCCAACTGTGGTTCAAAGCGTGTATACAGATGATTCGGGGTCAAACTGTGAAGAAACGGAGCCAATCTTAAGAGATGCTCTCCAGAGCATCGTACCGTAGAGAGAGAGAGAGAGAAACGCTCGCTGTCATAATAAAAATAATTGGATATCACAGGTCTAATGATTTCACTGTCAGAATGAATGATGTGAAAGACAGAAGAGGGAATTGATGGTGTAAAACTGAAATCTGACATGTTATAATGCTTCATTCAGCTCCTTTCAACACTGCAATCATCATCCTTAAATCAGTTCTGTGGCTCGCATTGAGGAGCCTTTAAAAAGATCAGTAAACGTAACATGCATATCATCATATACAGTTGAAGTCGGAAGTTTACATACACTTAGGTTGGAGTCATTAAAACTCGTTTTTCAACCACTCCACACATTTCTTGTTAACAAACTATAGTTATGGCAAGTCGGTTAGGACATTTACTTTGTGCATGATACAAGTCATTTTTCCAACAATTGTTTACAGGACAGATTATTTCACTTATAATTCACTGTATCACAATTCCAGTGGGTCAGAAGTTTACATACACTAAGTTGACTGTGCCTTTAAACAGCTTGGAAAATTCCAGAAAATGTCATGGCTTTAGAAGCTTCTGATAGGCGAATTGACATAATTTGAGTCAATTGGAGGTGTACCTGTGGATGTATTTCAAGGCCTACCTTCAAACTCAGTGCCTCTGTGCTTGACATCATGGGAAAATCAAATGAAATCAGCCAAGACCTCAGAAAAAAAATGGTAGACCTCCACAAGTCTGGTTCATCCTTGGGAGCAATTTCCAAACGCCTTAAGGTACCACGTTCCATCTGTACAAACAATAGTACGCAAGTATAAACACCATGGGACCACGCAGCCGTCATACCGCTCAGGAAGGAGACGCATTTTGTCTCCTAGAGATGAACGTACTTTGGTGCGAAAAGTGCAAATCAATCCCAGAACAACAGCAAAGGACCTTGTGAAGATGCTGGAGGAAACAGGTACAAAAGTATCTATATCCACAGTAAAACGAGTCCTATATCAACATAACCTGAAATGCCGCTCAGCAAGGAAGAAGCCACTGCTCCAAAACCACCATAAAAATGCCAGACTATGGTTTGCAACTGCACATGGGGACAAAGATCATACTTTTTGGAGAAATGTCCTCTGGTCTGATGAAACAAAAATAGAACTGTTTGGCCATAATGACCATCGTTATGTTTGGAGGAAAAAGGGGGTGGGCTTGCAAGCCGAAGAACACCATCCCAACCGTGAAGCACGGGGGTGGCAGCATCATGCTGAGGTGGTGCTTTGCTGCAGGAGGGACTGGTGCACTTCACAAAATAGATGGCATCATGAGGAAGGAAATGTATGTGGATATATTGAAGCAACATCTCAAGACATCAGTCAGGAAGTTAAAGCTTGGTAACAAATGGGTCTTCCAAATGGACAATGACCCCAAGCATACTTCCAAAGTTGTGCCAAAATGGCTTAAGGACAACAAAGTCAAGGTATTGGTGGCCATCACAAAGCCCTGACCTCAATCCTATAGAAAATGTGTGGGCAGAACTGAAAAAGCGTGTGCGAACAAGGAGGCCTACAAACCTGACTCAGTTACACCAGCTCTGTCAGGAGGAATGGGCCAAAATTCACCCAACTTATTGTGGGTAGCTTGTGGAAGGCTACCCGAAACGTTTGACCCAAGTTAAACAATTTAAAGGCAATGCTACCAAATACTAATTGAGTGTATGTAAACTTCTGATCCACTGGGAATGTGATGAAAGAAATAAAAGCTGAAATAAATCACTCTCTACTATTATTCTGACATTTCACATTCTTAAAATAAAGTGATGATCCTAACTGACGTAAGACAGGGAATTTTTACTAAGATTAAATGTCAGGAATTGTGAAAAACTGAGTTTAAATGTATTTGGCTAAGGTGTATGTAAACTTCCGACTTCAACTGTAACTGAGAACTCAAGCCTTGTACCATTTTATACAGAAAATCCTCCTTTCCCTATCTTAACACATTTCAAAGATTTTATCCTAGAAACACCCACCAAAGTTCCATATTTGTTTGACTATATAACCTGTGAGATATAGGCCTACTGCTTCTTATAGAATGATGCACAGAGTCCCACGGCCCTTGCTTTAAGACTGTGATATGTAAACTGACAGAATTCCAACAGACCCTGTTCACTTGAGTGCGATATGTCTTTAGGGTGGATGAGCATAGCACAGCTTCCTTCTGCCAGCAGCAGAGATTAACGTTACCAGCTCTGTTCAGGATGGCACCATATTCCCTTATATAGTGCACTACTTTTGACCAGGAATAGGGTGCCATTTGGGACAAACCCTATGACTGAGGAGGTTTTTCCCTACAGGCAAGTTACTCAGCCACTAAGGTCAGGGAGCTTTTCTGCCTGCCACATACTAGTCCTAAAAATATCCTCTCCATTTGATGCCTGTCCTGTCACTGGCCAGTTATACAATCTGTGCCCCTGAACGACTCCACTCCAGTCAGGCTCCCAGAATTAAAACTTCAAACACATTTTTCTATTTGTTTCCTAGAACTGTTTGACAACATGTTAAACAGGACACACACACACACACAGGACAGGCTACACTGTGCCATTATAGGTCCTACGTTAGAACACTTCAGTTGAATCTCTTGGTAAGTTGTTCTTTGTCCAGAATTCTAATCCTAACATTTGCCAATGCATGTTAGGATTTAAATAATGCCTAAAATGCACATCAACAAAAATGTGCCCTAGTTACCGGTTTTAACTACATTGCCTATTTGGCAGGTTGGAGGGAAATTGCGGCAAATCAAAAAATATGTATATATTTTTTCCCCTCAAGGGAATGGATCCTGTGTGAAAGCAAGAAGCTATTGTGAGAAACATGGCGTCTCAACAGCTCCAAGAGGCGAGTGACTGTGAAGAAGTTTATTCCTAAGACACCTGGAGGCTATGAGCTGGAGAAAAGCCTTAAAAGGAAAACGCCACCCCAAAACTATCTTCTGGTATTGGTTTCATTAGTCCATTGTCGACATAGTCCCAAAATGTTTTGCTTGTCAGAAATCAAGTTTTCAAGCTCAGTAACTTTCAAAATACAGAAATCATCCCGTATGATGCATTTTGTATGTCAACCATGGACTAATGAAACCAATACCAAAATATAGTTTTGGGGGAGGAGTTTTCCTTTAACCGTGACTGTGTGGCGCACACACTGGCATCAAGCAAGTCTGGCCCAATGTCTGGATTGGAGACAAGTACGTGTTCTGTAACAGATCAAATTCAACATTTGAACCCTTGCAACGAAGAATCACATATGTGCGTTTTGAAAATTCTGTATCGTCAAATATTTATTTTTTGGAATGCGTCTACAACATCAAGGGTGTCATTATTGAAATATGTCATCACACTTTATTTTTCAATTATACTCGTTTTTGATTTCATCCATCTTTTCCATACTTTCATTTATTAAGTCCATCAACATTTTATAATGGTTCATCGTCTGTAGGATTAATTTATAAAAGCCGCGTTATTTACCTAGCTTGAGTGCCAGTCTGTCTGTGCTGTCATGTCAACTCCTTGTCACTCATTGTAATGCCAAATGTTAGGTTTGACAATTCCACAAGGAGTTTACAAGAGAGAAGAAACAGACTGGTACCCAGTTTATTATTTACCTTCTGTTCCTGGTAAACATGTGTACAGTATTATATCTGGGTATTACTGTAATACATAAGTTACTTAGATGTATTAGTTAGTATACCTTTTTTGTCTCCTACCTGAAGTACATATCACTGTAAATCTTTAGCCTGGTCCCCAATCTGGGTTTGTGCTCTTGTCAATTCCAAAACATTTGTCAATTTGACAATGAGTGACAAGGAGTTGGCATGACAGCACCAATAGACAGGCTCTCAGGTTAGTAAATCCTAACTTTGACAGAGCCAAAGACAAATCATATCTGAAGAAGCTGGGCATGACAATGTGGAAACAGGAGCGCTCTACTGCAGTGACATGGTCTCCTATGGGGTCGTTGACGGAGGATACTCCAACCTTTTGACAGTACTTCTCTGCAGCACAGTTCATCAACCAAACCCTCAGCTTACCTTTGAGTAAGTTAGTTTTAGACATTGTATTAGAACTTATTTTATTATAACTTTTAATTGCTTATAAAGGCTTTATAAATTATTATTATAAATACTTATGAATTGTAATGTTTATAAACGCTTCCAAATGTTTATTACTGGTTTAGAAATGAAACATATGTATGAATACTTGTAGGTTATGAATGCTTAATCATTAAAGTGATTATACAGTGGTAGCTTACCATGCATCCTAATAAACACCTTTAATCTTGTATTATAAAGAGTATTCTTATTATTCTGTATTTCCTGATAAGCTCCTGGTCCACCGTGTGACGGGGAGAAGCAGGTCAGCCACCCTGTTCCTGGTCCACCGTGTGACGGGGAGAAGCAGGTCAGCCACCCTGTTCCTGGTCCACCGTGTGACGGGGAGAAGCAGGTCAGCCACCCTGTTCCTGGTCCACCGTGTGACGGGGAGAAGCAGTTCACCACCCTGTTCCTGTCCACCGTGTGACGGGGAGAAGCAGGTCAGCCACCCTTTTTCCTGTCCCCCGTGTGACGGGAGAGCGGTCAGCCACCCTGTGCCTGTCCACCGTGTGACTGGAAAGCAGGTCAGCCACCCTGTTCCTGTCCAACCCGGTGATCTGTAAGAACATGACGGTGGTGGATGCCATTAAACCACGTGAAGCAACACAGCATCCCCCGACTGCGGCTTCCCGAAACAGCTGGACACCTACCTCTCAGAACAGAGGAACATGAGGTAGAAGAAAATAAAGGAAAAATAGGAGGATGAAAAGAAAGATAAATGTGATCGATGCACCCCGAGAAAAGGAAACGCATTTAAATTTGGATCATTTGGTTCCACAAGAAATTAGAAAATAAACAAAGTCTTACAAGTAGGTTTCCTAGTACTTCAAAAATACTGCCAGTCAGTCTGTAGAGTACTGTTCTAGAGTAGTGTGTAGTACTATTGTAGAGTAGAGTACTTATATATATATTTTTTAGCAGAGTAATATTGTAGAGTAGAGCAGGGATTCCATAACTTTTGGCCCCCATTCGAGCATTGGGGAACATCCCGCATGCGCACGCCTCGTCGACTGTTCATGACCCCCTGCCGACTCCTGGGGCGTCGCCCACAGTTTGGGAACCAGTGGAGTAGAGTACCGTTGTAGAATCAAGTACTCCAATTGTACTCTAAAATGTAAGATTTAAACTAAACGCTGAAGTTTTATTGGAGATAAAGAGGACATTGCCTTGGACTTCTGTCGTTGTACTTTTTTTTTTTTAACTTCAAAACTCCCAATTAATCTGAAGTTCAGTCAGTCGGAAGTCAAAGGAGCAGAATCGTGTGCATGGTCAATCATAATTTATTTTATGCTAAAATGTACAGCATTTATAAGTGACTGACAAAGGAGAAAAGTCATAAATACAAGAGCGTCATTCTGTCCAATTGTTTGTGCACACAGCCAGGTCTCCGCCTGTAACTGTCCCTGCCAGCCGTTCTGTACAGGTACAAAGGCTACAAAAGAGCAATATTAACAAAAACACAAGTACAAGTTGCTTTTTACATGCAATCTGTTAGCTTAGATTGGTCTATTCACATCCTCTCTTCTCCTACACTTTGTAAAATATAAATCCAACATTTTATCAAGATAGAAAACAAATCTACAGATGGAATGAAAATGTAACTTTTTAAAGAAATTGTAAAATATCAACTTTGGACTAAATTTATATTTCTTTATTATTAATAATAATCATGATCTTATTTATTTTGTTGTTTTTTCCCCCCCAACATTTTTCGACATTGGTACACCTCTTTGAAATGTTTTAAAATCAGAGTGAGGGTAACAATACGCTTATTTATCTTGACAGAAGTCTTCTGCATTATAAAACAGAAAGCTGCCTCAAGGAAATCTGTTACAAAAGACTTCAGAACTATACATAAACGGCAATAAAACCTCTCAAACATACAGAAGAACAGGATTAAAGAAGTTGACACTTTTTTACATTATTATTAGAATTAACAAAATATAGTTTATTCTTTCTCCCCCCCTTTGTAAGCGAGGGAACCTAATAAAGGCCAAAATGTCTTTAAGATGTCTTTGCTATTAAGCACAACACTTGTACAGTACTACTCAATGCACTGTTACTAATGGAGACCAGAGACTGAAGCATGCTAATTGTCACTTTACAAAATAAGTACAATAATTTAAATATACAAAAGGCATGAGTATAGTACGAACTAATTGTCAGCACTGTTAGACAGGTACACTGAACAGGTTGCAGGAATATCCAATAGTTTAAGTCTGTTTGTAGCAGGCACATTTGATGGCTTCGTTTGAGGCTGCTACACAACTGCACTCACTCCCTCCCGCCCTCTCTCTCTCCCGGTGATGAAATCTCTCCCGTCTCCCCCGTCTCCCCACCTCCGCCTGCCCTAAGGAGTGATCAGGGAAACTAATACTAATTAAATAAATTTTCATCTTTATGAAGTAAGGCTTCCCATCTGTTAGGAACAAAAATACTTTGACATAGATAGATAGTAGCTTTTTGTAGAAAGTTTGCTTGTTGATCAAACTTTATGCATTCTTTCCAAGTGCTGGTTTTTAAGTAGCTATAAACAAAATAACAACAAACAAACAAACAAACAAAAACATTATCAACAACCAAAAAGGCCAAATGTGTGCATCAGGGACTAATTGTAATAATAATTAATAATGCACATTTGTGTGATTTAAACATCCAGTCAGATTGATTCAGTCTGACGGTAGTTACCGTTTCGTTAACTGTTAGTTAACGGTTAGGTTAGTAACCGTGGGTTACCGTCTGATGAAAGGCCCTTTGAGTGTCTGCTTGGACAGGGGTCCGGTGTTGGTCATGTATCCATGGTGACCACCTGAAGAGTACATCATATTGCCGTGGGGCGGAGCCTGCATGGGTTGCTGGGTGTATGGCTGTGTTCCCATCATGCCAATCTGCATAGAGGCGTACTGGGCCCCGGGTGACTGGTTCATGTAGGCCGCAGCCATCTGATGACCGTTGCCGTGGTAACCACCGTTGGCCGCCATCATGGCGGCGCTCTGGGTGGTGACGCGGTAGCCGTTCATGGCGTGGTTGATGGCGGCGGCGGCGGCGGGCATGTTCACAGCGCGGTTGTAGGGGGCCGGCATGATGTTGACCGTGCCCAATTTCATGCCCCTGGGCACGGCTGCCAGCGTCCGGGACGAGGGGGCCTGCATGGTGACTGTCTGGGGGGCCCCGTGGGCATGGCTGTACATCTGCTGCTGGTGGGGGGAGTGACCAGGGGCTGCTGACTTGGAGCGCATGGAGATGTGTGTGGGGTCCTTGGGTCCCCCGGGGGCCATTTGAGCCTGTAGAGTCCTCTGGGAGGGGGTGATGTTGGGGATGCCCATGTCGTTGCGCTGCAGCATCATCTGAGGGGAGCTAAGGGGGTGGGAGGAAGGCAGAGGGGGGGGTCATGGTGGCCTGCACCTGGACCTGGGAGCCCCCAGGGTGAGGAGAGACCCCGTGGGGGTGGGGGTGGCCTCCGGGGTGGGGGGACTGGGACACCAGGCCAGAGTGCTGAGAGTGAGATGACAGGGAGGCACTGTTTGTATAGGATGTGATGGGGTGGGAGTGGGAGGCTGAGTGGGGGTGGGAGGCTGAGTGGGGGTGAGAGGCTGAGTGGGGGTGAGAGGCTGAGTGGGGGTGAGAGGCTGAGTGGGGGTGAGAGGCTGAGTGGGGGTGAGAGGCTGAGTGGGGGTGAGAGGCTGAGTGGGGGTGAGAGGCTGAGTGGGGGTGAGAGGCTGAGTGGGGGTGAGGGCTGAGTGGGGGTGAGAGGCTGAGTGGGGGTGAGAGGCTGAGTGGGAGTGGTTGAAAGGCAGAGAGTGAGGGTGGTCCATAAGGGTGTTGGTCAGCTGCTGCAGTTTGGCCAGGCTGAAGGTGGCCGAGGGCTGGGAGTAATGACCGCTGCTATAGCCCTCCTGGTTCATCCTCTCGTAGAAGCTGCTCAGGTTGGCGTTGCCTGAATCTGGGCTGTCGGCTAGCTGCATGGGTACTGTGAAGTTGGTGGGCATGACACACTGTGGCATGGTCTGCTGCTGACAGCGGCTGTGCTGGCTGGTGCCGTGTTGACTGTGAAGGGTGTGTTGACTGTGCTGGCTGAGCTGATTATGACGTACACTATGTAGCTGGCTGTGTGCAGGGTGCGGGTGTGTGTACGGGCTGTGTTGCGTTAGCTGGCTGTGTGCAGGGTGCGGGTGTGTGTACGGGCTGTGTTGCGTCAGCTGGCTGTGTGCAGGGTGCGGGTGTGTGTACGGGCTGTGTTGCGTTAGCTGGCTGTGTTGACCGTGTGGAGTGATAGTGTGCCTAGTATGGCCGTGGGGATTGTGTGTGATTGTATGGCTGTGACTGTGTTGACTGTGTTGACTGTGACTGTGTTGACTGTTACTCGGTGGTCTCTCCACCACCACACAGCCCTGTGGTGACTTGACGTTGCAGTGCTGCGGGGAGCTCAGGCTATTCTGTTGAATCATGCCACAGCTGCCAGGGTTGACGCCCGCCATTTGCTGGCTGACGGCACAGCTGCTCTGTGCCAGGCCGCTGGGGGGGAGGGCGCCGTAGGAGCAGCTGTTCTGAGAGGGACCCCCGGCCCCGCCGCAGATGCTGCCCCCCAGCGTGGAGTCGTAGGAGCTGGGGTTCTCGTAGTTCTCTGTGGTGCTCTCGATGGAGCCCAGGTCACTGAAGCCACTGTCCACAACCTGCTGGGACGAGTGGTCCGACACTGATGGCACGTCCATCATGGGGCTGGTTGCCATGTTGTGGAGGGAGGAGGGGACAGAGATGGAGGCGTGGTCAGGACTGATCTGGGTGTAGCCTCCTCCACTGCTGCTACCTCCGCTACTCTCCAGGATGGACACAGCCGGGCTGCTGACTGAGCGCACCGACTGGCTGGGGTGGGAGTGGGCCGAGGACAGGGGGCTGCTGTGGTCCGACTGGGGGCAGCCTTCGTCCAGCGAAGTTAGGGTGTGAGGGGGACTCTGTGGGGCCACGTGGTGGGTGTAAGTCTGCAGGCTCCGGCACGCCTCCTGGGTCTCTCTCTCCATATAGTCCTGGTGGAACACCGAGCTGGCGCTATCCCTCAGTGTCTCTGGGTCGTGCTCCGTCTCCTGGGTGAGGCTCTGTACGGCCTGTGCCGTCTCCTGGTCCACATCAGACTCAGGGTAAACCGGAGGATCAATCTCCTCTCCGTCTCTTAGCACGACAGCAGGACTCAGCACTCCAAGCCTCTCTCTAGCCCTCTCTGTCTGCGGTGGCTGGTGAGGAGCCTCCTGACTGCTGCTCTCTGACTCAGAGTCAATGGGGTGGTCAGAGTCTACTGCTACTGCTGAGGTTGTTGGTGCCTGTTCCTGGATACGGTCACTTCTCTCTTCTGCAGTGTTGGCAGGCTGCTCCTTCTCATGTCTATAGGCCACAACTACAGACTCCTCCTCCTGACGTTGTTCAGAATCCTCACGGTTTGGATGTAAAAAAGCCGGGGTGGTGTAGGCCTCAGTTTTACAAGGCTCTTTACAAGGCCCTGGCTCCAGCTGCTGCATGTCTCGGTGTTTCTCAGCCTCTGCTGTCGACTCAACGTGACTCTCGTCTTCACCGTCTGCATCCAGGTGTGTGGCCTCCTCCTCCTCCTCCTCGGCTGATCGTTCAGTGCTGTTGTCCAGCTCTTTGGATGGAGACAGAGACGGGGATGAAGAGGCCCCGTGCTCCCTGTCCTGTGGGTCATCCTCTGGTGGCTCTGGCGTCTCCTGGCTGCTGTCACGACTGGGGGATCCAACGGGGGAGCTGGCTCTAGAGGTCGCAGGGGAGACGGCTCTAGAGGTCGCCGGGGAGACGGCTCTAGAGGTCGCGGGGGAGACGGCTCTCGAGGTCGCGGGGGAGACGGCTCTCGAGGTCGCGGGGGAGACGGCTCTCGAGGTCGCGGGGGAGACGGCTCTCGAGGTCGCGGGGGAGACGGCTCTCGAGGTCGCGGGGGAGACGGCTCTAGAGGTCACGGGGGAGACGGCTCTAGAGGTCACGGGGGAGACGGCTCTAGAGGACACGGGGGAGACGGCTCTAGAGGTCACGGGGGAGACGGCTCTAGAGGTCACGGGGGAGACGGCTCTAGAGGTCACGGGGGAGACGGCTCTAGAGGTCACGGGGGAGACGGCTCTAGAGGTCACGGGTGAGACGGCTCTAGAGGTCACAGGGGAGGCTACCAGAGAGCAGGCCATGGGAGAAGCCACTGGAGACACCCCAGGGGAGCGCTCTTCCTCTATTGGACTGTGGGGCTCTGAGAGCTTCGAGGCTAGCTCCTTGTCTATCTCCCGACTGGCCAGGCCTCTGCTGGGCTCTGACCCTGCCTCCATAATGGGAGAGGCCTGGTCCAGCTCCTCCTTGGGCTCCTCGGCCTGGATGTGCTGCTCCTCGGCCTCCAGCGGCGTCTCCGGGGGTGTGTACAGGTTCAGCTTGAAGCCCATCTTCCTCTCCTTCTTCAGCCGCCATTTTGGAGGCCCCCGTTTCACTCCTTTGGGCCAGCCCTTCTTGCGCTTTACTGCTCGAGGTCTGCCCGGTTTCTTCACTAGCACACCGGCCCCTACAATGTAGAAAGAGAAAAGGTCATTAGTGATTTGAGAAAATTGGTGTCGAATGATGTTCACATTTTAAAATGTATACTGTCAGTATACTTAGTGATATAGCTTTAAAAACATCTGAAGGATTGAGTTACCTTCGTTCCAGTGTTCACGGTTGTCTCTGTACGTGTTTTTCTCCAGCCGTGGACGACCTCTGCATCTCTTTACTGGTTTCCTCAGCTCCTCCTCCGTCTCTCCCACCCTGCAGGTCCTCTCCAGCAGGGGCATGGACCTCTCGTCCTCAGAGTTGTCAAATGGTTCGTTCAGAACCTCAGTCGTCTCCGAGATGGTCTCGGTTGTCACACTGCTACTTATCCATCTCCTCTCCTGACCTCTCTTCTTGAGGACCAGAGCTCTCTCAGCTCTCCCTCTCTGGAACACACAGATCAAATGTTAAACACAACCTTTTCTATACAACTTTAGGGCCGGTTTCCTGAACAAAGAATAATCCTAGTAATGGACTAAAAAAGTACTTTCTGGGCACAACTGCTCTCCAAGACAGACAAACAGATAACATGTTAAACATAATCCTAAACTCTTTCTGCAGTTTACTAGCTACAGAGAGGGTGATACTCAAGACTCTGGTTAAATGTCTGCAGGGAGGACCTGGCCTCGTCGTAAACTCTTGTTCTGAATGCAAAATGCTCCAACCACACGATGTGAGCCTCGACGCTTGAGCAACTCTTTCCCACAGATGAAGGCTGCCTGGTTCAGAGAACCACAAATGAGACTGGCAGAGTTAACTCGGATCACAGGCCTCATTCTACATATCATCTTGTTTTCCACTAACTGAGTATAACAAGCATGACATGTTCTTTTCGTTGTAGCGATTAAACCCAGGGAAGACTATGAAATCAATCCTGTTACAAATTCACTAGTTAACTGCAGCAGTCATTAGCAGGCAGTCTTATCATCTGGCTGTCCATATTACTGCTGTGTGAAATAGAGAGAGGCACCCTAACTTCTAGAACAGTGTTTCTCAACAGCACACATTTTATTGTAACACTGTACAAGCACACCTGATTCAACTTATCAACTAATCATCAAACCCTCAATGAGTTAAATGAGGTTGTGTTTTGTCCAGGGATACAACGATAATGTGTACTGTTGTGGGTACTGGAGGACCAGAGTTGGGAAACACTGTTCTAGACCACAATCTGGTGGAATATTATCTTCGCCACAAGGGGGCAGTGGTCTATAGACAACGCAGATGTGAAAACAACCATGGAGGGGTTTAAAAATGAGCCATGACCACTGACTACAGAACACGGTTTAGTCTGCCTGCCACACAACGGTCTCCACAGCGCCAGAGAAATCACAACTGTATATCTGCTGTACTGTGAGGTCCGAAAGGAGGGTCAACCTGATATGAAGAACCCAGTGAACCTTTCATTGCAGTCAACAGCATTTACCCACATCCCTCTGTCTTAGTATGTTAAGATGTGTTGTCTACAAACTAAGTCACAATATATAATGATTGAAAACAATCTAATTATGAAACTATTGCATAACATTCAATGTATTTATTTCTTTTTCCATCACTATGTAAAGACTCCAACCAGCCAATCCCACAGGACAACAGCATTCACCTGACCCTGCAATGAGGCAATGTGACAAATAACTCATTTCTAGCTCTCACCTTTCTCTTGACTCCAAGTACGGCGTGGGCATTCGTTAGGATAGGCAGCGACCAATCAGAATCATCTTCATCATCCTCACTACACTCCTCAGAGACGTGCAAGCCTTGTTCTCCGGCGGTGTGGCGACGCTGGTGGGTTCTGTAGGGGTTCTTACTGTAGACCTTAGTGGGAGGACGAGGGTGAGTCATCAGGTAGGCCACCTCTCTCTCCTCCTTCTCCCAGCAACTAGCCTGCTCCTTCAGTCGCTCAGCCTGAAATGAACACACAGATCGACAAACATTATCATCATCTCTCAGAGCACCTTACCGATCACTGCACCTGTACACAGCCCATCTGAAATTAGCCCACCCAACTACCTCATCCCTATATTTTGCTCATTTGCACCCCAGTATCTCTACTTGCACATCATCTCTTGCACATCTATCATTCCAGTGTTAATACTAATTGTAATTATTTTGCACTATGGCCTATTTATTGCCTTACCTCCATAACTTGCTACATTTGAACACACTGTATATATATATTTTCTGTTGTATTTTTGACTTTATGTTTTGTTTTACCCCATATGTAACTCTGTTGTTTTTATCGCACTTCTTTGCTTTATCTTGGCCAGGTCGCAGTTGTAAATGAGAACTTGTTCTCAACTGGCTTACCTGGTTAAATAAAGGTGAAATAAAAATAAAAACATCTCTGAGAAACACAAATTGACAATAATAATAATAATAATAATATCTCTGAGAAACACAGGCAGGCAGTGAGCTCAACATCCTAATCCGTAGGCTGATGGGGAAATAAACAGACGCAAGGGTCAGTCTGCCTGCTCTAACCATGACCACTGACTATAGCACAAGGGTCAGTCTGCCTGCTTTAACCATGACCACTGACTATAGCACAAGGGTCAGTCTGCCTGCTTTAACCATGACCACTGACTATAGCACAAGGGTCAGTCTGCCTGCTCTAACCATGACCACTGACTATAGCACAAGGGTCAGTCTGCCTGCTCTAACCATGACCACTGACTATAGCACAAGGGTCAGTCTGCCTGCTCTAACCATGACCACTGACTATAGCACAAGGGTCAGTCTGCCTGCTTTAACCATGATCACTGACTATAGCACAAGGGTCAGTCTGCCTGCTTTAACCATGATCACTGACTATAGCACAAGGGTCAGTCTGCCTGCTTTAACCATGACCACTGACTATAGCACAAGGGTCAGTCTGCCTGCTTTAACCATGACCACTGACTATAGCACAAGGGTCAGTCTGCCTGCTCTAACCATGACCACTGACTATAGCACAAGGGTCAGTCTGCCTGCTCTAACCATGACCACTGACTATAGCACAAGGGTCAGTCTGCCTGCTTTAACCATGACCACTGACTATAGCACAAGGGTCAGTCTGCCTGCTCTAACCATGACCACTGACTATAGCACAAGGGTCAGTCTGCCTGCTTTAACCATGACCACTGACTATAGAACAAGGGTCAGTCTGCCTGCTCTAACCATGACCACTGACTATAGCACAAGGGTCAGTCTGCCTGCTTTAACCATGACCACTGACTATAGCACAAGGGTCAGTCTGCCTGCTCTAACCATGACCACTGACTATAGCACAAGGGTCAGTCTGCCTGCTCTAACCATGACCACTGACTATAGCACAAGGGTCAGTCTGCCTGCTCCACAAGTCTCCACAGCACATTATTCGTTGATTATTTGACACACACAATTTATCTACACTGTTTACTATTATTATTATTATTATTATTATTATTAATCCTGCTACCAGTCACTTTCTCCTAATCCCTGCCTACATGTACATATCCATCTCAAATACTCCAGTATCCCTGCACATTGAACATTTACCCTGTGAGTGTACAAAACATTAGGAACACCTGCTCTTTCCATGACAGACTGACCAGGTGAAAACTATGATCACTTATTGATGTCACTTGTTAAATCCACTTCAATCAGTGTAGATGAAGGGGAGGAGACAGGTTTAAAAATGATTTTTAAGCTTCGAGACAGTTGAGACATGGATTGTGTATGTGTGCCATTCAGAGGGTGAATGGGCAAGACAAAATATTTAAGTGCCTTTGAACGGGGTATGGTAGTAGGTGCCAGGCGCACCGGTTTGTGTCAAGAACTGCAACGCTGCTGGGTTTTTCACGCTCAACAGTTTCCCGTGTGTCTCAAGAATGGTCCACCACCCAAAGGACATCCAGCCAACTTGACACAACTGTGGGAAGCATTGGAGCAAAATAGGCCAGCATCCCTGTGGAACGCTTGACACCTTGTAGAGTCCATTCCCCGACGAATTGAGGCTGTTCTGAGGGCAAAAGGGGGGGTGCAGCTCAATATTAGGAAGGTGTTCCTAATGTTTTGTACACTCAGTGTACAGCTCCCACTTCTTATTTCTGATTTCTCATGTTTTTATTTTTATTGTATTATTAGTGATACTTTTTTGATATTGAATGCTGCACTGTTGGGTAGGGTAAGTTAAGCATTTCGCTGTACTGGTACATGTGACAAATACAACCTGAACACACACAATTTGAATTAACATCATGACATTTGAATCACCACAGGTTCTCATGATAACGAGACTAGACTGCCTCTTCTTGTTGATTGGATGTTTGTTTGTGTGTGCGTGCGTGCGTGTCAAAGCAGAGGAAGCGTTCGCTGTTAAGCAACCATGGAGAGATTGCATTTCATGGCATATTTAGTACTATTAATTATGTAGTGAACTGATTTGGGGCAATTTTGCACCACATTAAATTCCTAGTGACAGTGAACATGCTTTGCCCATTACTGGCCTTGGTTTGAACTCTTAAAGCTAACCAAACAATCCATTTAACAGACTGTGGGTGTGTTGAAAGATCACACAGCCTCGGCTGAAGACACTGACACATACCAAGTCTATAACACTACAGCAGAGGTCCTGGAGAGCTAGCTACTGTGTGTGCAGGCTTTTGTACCAGCCCAGCACAAAAACACACCTGATTTACCTAATCATGATCTAGAGTCCAGACTGAAGTTGATTATTTGACTCGGGTGTGTTTAGTGATAGGCTGGAACAAAAAATCTGCATACCCATTGGCTCTCCAGGACGAAAGTTGAATAACACTGTGTGTGTGTGTGTGTGTGTGTGAGAGACTTACATCCATCTCAGCCTCTCTCTCCTCCTCAGACAGGACAGAGTTGAGGGCCACAGCTGGGGTCCAGTGCAGGGCGTCACGGTCCACCTGGTTCAGCCTGGGGCTGGCTCGCAGCTTCGCCATGTGTCTCTGGATCAACCGCTCTCTTCGGATCACCACAAACCTAGAAAAGAGCAAATCAGAAACAAGATCAATCAATATATTTTGATCACCGAAATCCTAGAGTAATAATCAACAAGATCAATAAATTCCCTACATGGATAACAGATTCCCTACATGGATAACAGATTCCCTACATGGATAACAGATTCCCTACATGGATAACAGATTCCCTACATGGATAACAGATTCCCTACATGGATAACAGATATTTTCTCCCCTCCAAAAAAAAAGGAAGTTTGTTCTCAAGTGTCTGTTCTATATCTGAGAAATATAAAAAAGATCAGGAAACATTTGTTTGTTTACATATATTTAACCCCTTATTGTCGTCACTAAACATTCTCCATATATACTTCCATTAATGTTTTTTAACTGGTACCGGGGGACTTTCAGACAAGTCTTGTGAGGCCTGTACGAGTTCGTGAAAGTCTCACCTTTACACAGAGGGGTCATAATAAACCGTTCGGACGCTACAGCTGGTTCTGTGACAAACAGATTTTTCGGGATGTCTCATGGTCTGACTAACATTGCTCTAGCTCCGTCACCTTTCCCCTCAGATGCGGAAGTGCGACATAAGTGGGAGAGAGTTATATGGGGATTTTTTTATTATGCTAATTGATTTTCCGCGGGGGCATGGACATCAACTTCAGGCAGTTAAAGCTAATTTCCTGTAATTCTATACATTTTGCCATGGGGCTGAGAGAAGATTTGCAGTTTTAAATAGCGCTGAGCGATTAACCGACATGTCGTTTTTTTTTGGGGGGGGGTTATTAAACAACTAATTCACAGACTCCGGTTTAATTACTTGAATTCCATTTAGTTCAATTTTTTTATGTGAGCCCAAAGCACCGTTTCTCTACAGAGAATTCAAATCATTCACAGGAGGAATCAAGTCTAGAACTATACTGAACAAAAATATAAACGCAACATGCAACAATTTCTAAGATTCTGCTGAGTTACAGTTCATAAGGAAATCAGTCAATTTAAATAAATTAATTAGTCCCTAAACTATAGATTTCACATTACTAGGCAGGGGCACAGCCATGGGTGGGCCTGGCTCACCCATGCGCCCCTGCCCAGCCAGAGCCTAGACTTGAACCCGATCTAACATCTCTGGAGAGACCTGAAAATAGCTGTGCAGCGACACTCCCCATCCAACCTGACAGAGCTTGAGAGGATCTGCAGAGAAGAATGGGAGAAACTCCCCAAATACAGGTGTGCCAAGCTTGTAGCGTCATACCCAAGAAAACTCAAGGCTGTAATCGCTGTCAAAGGTTATTCAACAAAGTATTGAGTAAAGGGTCTGAATACTTACGTAAATGTAACATTTCTGTTTTTTGTTTTATAAATTAGCAAACATTTCTAAAAATCTGTTTTTGCTTTGTCATTATGGGTTATACTTTCCGAATGCACTGTACATACGCACAAATACCATACCCCCAGGACATGCTAACCTCTCTCCATTACAATAACAAGGGAGGTTAGCATAATTTTTTTTGGGGGGGGGTATGATATTTGTGCGTCAGTAACTTTCTCACGATTCATTCAGGATTATCCGTAATCATGGTAGCATCCACATTAATGTAAAAGTGTTTAGGAACATATTATATTCTTATTTACAATAAATGTGACTCCAAAATGACACAATACATTATTTACCATTCATTTCTATTGGGCAAAAAATAATCTGAAACTCAACCAAAACAAACAAATGCATCCAACAAATCTGTAGAGTCACAAGCTTGATGTAATCATTGCGTGCTAGGAATATGGGACCAAATATTACACTTTTGACTACTTTAACCCTCCCGTTGTCCTAGGGTCAAAATGACCCGCCACTGTGTTGAACCAACTTTATTTATTTTTTGGGGATCATTTGTGAGAAGGAGGCAGTGAGACTTTAAAGAAACCCTAAGCAAATGTCTTGGAATGGCCTAGTCAAAGCCCAGACCTCAATCCAATTGAGAATCTGTGGTATGACTTAAAGATTGATGTACACCAGCGGAACCCATCCAACTTGAAGGAGCTGGAGCAGTTTTGCCTTGAAGAATGGGCAAAAATCCCAGTGGCTAGATGTGCCAAGCTTATAGAGACATACCCCAAGAGACTTGCAGCTGTAATTGCTGCAAAAGGTAGCTCTACAAAGTATTGACTTTGGAGGGGGTGAATAGTTATGCACGCTCAAGTTCTGTTTTTTTTTGGTCTTATTTCTTGTTTGTTTCACAATTAAACATATTTTGCATCTTCAAAGTGGTAGGCATGTTGTGTAAATCAAATGATACAAACCCCCAAAAAAATCAATTTTAATTCCAGGTTGTAAGGCAACAAAATAGGAAAAATGCCAAGGGGGGTTAATACTTTTGCAAGCACCTCAATCCACCGCATGTTGCACTTTTGAATCTGCGGTGAAAGGTGAAAGGTGAAAGGTGAAAGGTGACAGAGTTGTCAGACCATGAAACATCCCGAAGATCGGTCTTCTCACAAAATCGTCTGTAGCGTCCGAACGGTTTGGCGAACCGAATATCTGTTTTTAATCGTTTAAGTTTACACTGAAAAGGTTTTACCATCCCGATTCTTTAAAATGTATTTAATAGATTTATTTAAAATCATATAATCTGGAGTGGCCCGCCTCTGCTAAATGAATATAGGGGAAACACTGAATATATTCTGATCACAACAAACCTAGAGAGCAATAATCAACAAGATCAATCAATTCATTCTGATTACCACAAACCTAGAGTAATAAATCAACAAGATCAATCAATCAATCCGTTCTGATCACTACATACCTAGACAGAAATCATACAGCAATTAATCAAACAATCAAATATTTTTATAAAGCCCTTTTTACATTAGCAATTGTCAGTGAGTACTGTCAAAGTGCTTAAACAGTAAACCAATAACAAAAAGACCATCTGTATAAGAATGAATCCACATGATGCATGGCGTAGTGTAAGTTAATAAAGCTGAAAGAGGATTCTCAGGATGGAATAGCAGCAGGGGCTCTTCTGTCAGTCTGTCACTTAACCTGCCTCAACATTCTGCTGCATTAATGGATAACATGTTCAAAACACCCAGTAGCCTGGCTGTCAGGAAGGAGGGAACACGCACGCATACACACACGCACGCATGCACAGACACACAGACACGCACGCACGCACGCACGCACGCACGCACACACACACACACACACACACACACACACACACACACACACACACACACACACACACACACACACACACACACACACACACACACACACACACACACACACACACACACACACACACACACACACACACACACACACACACACACACACACACACACACACACACACACACACACACACACACACACACACACACACACACACACACACACACACACACACACACACACACACACACACACACACACACACACACACACACACACACACACACACAGAGCGACTGTGTGAGTTAAGACTGACCTGCCGTCCTGTCTGTCAATCATGCGGAGGTTCTGGAGAGTAGCAGCAATGTCATGTGGACACATCCCAGTGGCTCTGCTTATTCCTTTAATGCTGATGTGTTTATCTGGATGCTTATAGAGGTACTCCACCATGACACTTTTCCAATATGCCAGGTAGGATAAGCGACCCAGATCTGACAGAGGCTTCTCTGGGGAGCCAGCTTGTCCTTCCTGCCTCGTGAGAAGGTAACCTGAAACAGACACATTCAAACAAAACAACATGGTGTGAGAAGATGAAGACATAACCTGAAAAAGACACAGTGGCTTACCTAAAAATACCTTTTATAACAAAACAACAATGTTGTGAGAAGGGATTAACCATATAAAATACACATTCAAACAATACAATGTTGTGAGAAGGTAGGTAACCTAAAAAGACACATTCAAATTAAAACACAATTCCAGCCCAATTCTGATCTGTTGCCCAAGTATTGGCAAAATAGCTGATCTGATTGGTCAAAAGACCAAATAGTATTTTGACCAACCATGTTTGAGAAGGTAGGTAACCTAAAAAGACATTCAAATGATGTGTGGGGCCCCTCCGGCCCCCCTCCCAGAGGTTTCTTCTCTCTTCAACCAGTTGTCCTCACCTCCATGTTGAGCTCCACATCTCTCCTTGCCCTAGCTCCACAGTGACTAGCCTAGCTTATCAGGAACTGATACTCGACTGTTGCTCTTTACCTACTTCCTTAGATATAGGAATATACAGTAAAGCAAGAAGATGTCTGGAGAGACAGACACTGTCTGTACTTCCCCTTGACACTGCAATAACACACACACACACACACACACACACACACACACACACACGCCAACATGCTAACCAATAACAAGTTATTACTGTTAATAAGCTGATTATGTAAGGGATAATCAACGAGGAGCTATGCTTTCTAGGGAAAATAATGAACGCCGTGGAAGCTGTGGGACCTTCCACAGAGTTGCATTATTTTCCACAGAATGCATAGAGCCCTGAGATGATTATCCCTTTTACGTCATGGCTCTAATTTAATACATTTGCTCCTAGAAATGTGCTCATTTGCCGGTAGCTAGCAAGTTTACTAGATAGCTGCAGTAGCTGCCGTGGTAACCAAAACACAAAGACTTGCTAGTTTAGCTAACCAAAAGGAGAGCCTCACACTCTAGGAGCTCTGATGCAATAATTTAATAACCAACGTTTGGACAGACCAGCTGTCTTCATCAGGGTATAATGACAAAACACTGCGGGTCACTAGTTTATATAGTTTGGAAGGACACACAGGTGTCTGTAATCATGGCCCGGGTGTGGCTTGATGTCATGGGATGATTTACAGATATAAATAGAACATACATACAGTGGGGAAAAAATGGTATTTAGTCAGTCACCAATTGTGCAAGTTCTCCCACTTAAAAAGATTAGAGAGGCCTGTCATTTTCATCATAGGTACACGTCAACTATGACAGACAAATTGAGCATTTTTTTTCCAGAAAATCACATTGTAGGATTTTTTATGAATTTATTTGCAAATTATGGTGGAAAAAAAGTATTTGGTCACCTACAAACAAGCAAGATTTCTGGCTCTCACAGACCTGTAACTTCTTCTTTAAGAGGCTCCTCTGTCCTCCACTCGTTACCTGTATTAATGGCACCTGTTTGAACTTCTTATCAGTATAAAAGACACCTGTCCACAACCTCAAACAGTCACACTCCAAACTCCACTATGGCCAAGACCAAAGAGCTGTCAAAGGACACCAGAAACAAAATTGTAGACCTGCACCAGGCTGGGAAGACTGAATCTGCAATAGGTAAGCAGCTTGGTAGAAATCAACTGTGGGAGCAATTATTAGGAAATGGAAGACATACAAGACCACTGATAATCTCCCTCGATCTGGGGCTCCACGCAAGATCTCACCCCGTGGGGTCAAAATGATCACAAGCAAAAATCCCAGAACCACACGGGGGACCTAGTGAATGACCTGCAGAGAGCTGGGACCAAAGTAACAAAGCCTACCATCAGTAACACACTACGCCGCCAGGGACTCAAATCCTGCAGTGCCAGACGTGTCCCCCTGCTTAAGCCAGTACATGTCCAGGCCCGTCTGAAGTTTGCTAGAGTGCATTTGGATGATCCAGAAGAGGATTGGGAGAATGTCATATGGTCAGATGAAACCAAAATAGAACTTTTTGGTAAAAACTCAACTCGTCGTGTTTGGAGGACAAAGAATGCTGAGTTGCATCCAAAGAACACCATACCTACTGTGAAGCATGGGGGTGGAAACATCATGCTTTGGGGCTGTTTTTCTGCAAAGGGACCAGGATGACTGATCCGTGTAAAGGAAAGAATGAATGGGGCCATGTATCGTGAGATTGAGTGAAAACCTCCTTCCATCAGCAAGGGCATTGAAGATGAAACGTGGCTGGGTCTTTCAGCATGACAATGATCCCAAACACACCGCCCGGGCAACGAAGGAGTGGCTTCGTAAGAAGCATTTCAAGGTCCTGGAGTGGCCTAGCCAGTCTCCAGATCTCAACCCCATAGAAAATCTTTGGAGGGAGTTGAAAGTCCGTGTTGCCCAGCGACAGCCCCAAAACATCACTGCTCTAGAGGAGATCTGCATGGAGGAATGGGCCAAAATACCAGCAACAGTGTGTGAAAACCTTGTGAAGACTTACAGAAAATGTTTGACCTGTGTCATTGCCAACAAAGGGTATATAACAAAGTATTGAGAAACTTTGTTATTGACCAAATACTTATTTTCCACCATCATTTGCAAATAAATTCATAAAAAATCCTACAAAGTGATTTTCTGGATATTTTTCTCTCAATTTGTCTGTCATAGTTGACGTGTACCTATGATGAAAATTACAGGCCTCTCTCATCTTTTTAAGTGGGAGAACTTGCACAATTGGTGGCTGACTAAATATTTTTTCCCCCACTGTATGTCATTATACCCTGATGAAGACAGCTTGTCTGTCGAAACGTTGGTTATTAGGATATTATTGCATCTGAGCTCCTAGTGTGCGGCTCTCCTTTTCTTTTTCAGGTGTTCTACTCCACTAGCCAGCACCTCGCCTAAACAGGTGTTCTACTCCGCTAGCCAGCACCTCGCCTAAACAGGTGTTCTACTCTGTTAGCCAGCACTTCCTAAACAGTGTTCACTCCGCTAGCCAGCACCTCTCCTAAACAGGTGTTCTACTCCGCTAGCCAGCACCTCTCCTAAACAGGTGTTCTTACTCCGCTAGCCAGCACCTCGCCTAAACAGGTGTTCTACTCCGCTAGCCAGCACCTCGCCTAAACAGGTGTTCTACTCGCTAGCCAGCACCTCGTCCTAAACAGGTGTTCTACTCCGCTAGCCAGCACCTCGCCTAAACAGGTGTTCTACTCCGCTAGACCAGCACCTCGTCCTAAACAGGTGTTTCTACTCCGCTAGCCAGCACCTCGCCTAAACAGGTGTTCTACTCCGCTAGCCAGCACCTCGCCTAAACAGGTGTTCTACTCTGCTAGCCAGCACCTCCCTAAACAGGTGTTCTACTCGCTAGCCAGCACCCTCCCTAAACAGGTGTTCTACTCTGTAGCCAGCACCTCCCTAAACAGGTGTTCTACTCTGCTAGCCAGCACCTCGCCTAAACAGGTGTTCTACTACTCCACGAGCCAGCACCTCGCCTAAACAGGTGTTCTACTCCGCTAGCCAGCACCTCTCCTAAACAGGTGTTTACTAGTTAGCCAGACCTCTCCTAAACAGGTGTTTACTCTGCTAGCCAGCACCTCTCCTAAACAGGTGTTTTCTACCTCCTGTGCTGAGCCAGCACCTCTCCTAAACAGGTGTTCTACTCTGCTAGCCAGCCAAACGCTACTCTCGCCTAAAACAGGTGTTCTACTCTGCTAGCCAGCACCTCTCCTAAACAGGTGTTCTACTCTGCTAGCCAGCACCTCTCCTAAACAGGTGTTCTACTCTCGCTAGCCAGCACCTCTCCGAAAACATGGTGTTCTACTCCGCTAGCCAGCACCTCGCCTAAAACAGGGTGTTCTAATCCGCTAGCCAGCACCTCGCCTAACCAGGTGTTTACTCGCTAGCCAGCACCTCGCCTAAACAGGGTGTTCTACTCCGCTAGCCAGCCACCTCGCCTAAACAGGTGTTCTACTCCGCTAGCCAGCACCTCTCCTAAACAGGTGTTCTACTCTGTTAGCCAGCACCTCTCCTAAACAGGTGTTCTACTCCGCTAGCCAGCACCTCGCCTAAAACAGGTGTTCTACTCGCTAGCCAGCACCTCGCCTAAACAGGTGTTCTACTCTGCTAGCCAGCACTCGCCTAAACAGGTGTTCTACTCCGCTAGCCAGCACCTCTCCTAAACAGGTGTTCTACTCGGTTAGCCAGCACCTCTCCTAAACAGGTGTTCTACTCTGCTAGCCAGCAACCTCTCCTAAACCGGTGTTCTACCTGCTACCCAGCACCCTCCCTAAACAGGTGTTCTACCTCCGCTAGCCGCACCTCTCCTAACAGGTTGTTACTGCAGCCAGCACTCTCAAACATGTGTTCTTACCTCGTTACCCAGTCACCTTCTCCTAAACAGGTCGTTTCTACTCTTGATAGCCAGCACCTCTCCTAAACAGGTGTTCTACTCTGCTAGCCAGCACCTCTCCTAAACAGGTGTTCTACTCTGTTAGCCAGCACCTGTCCTAAACAGGTGTTCTACTCTGCTAGCCAGCACCTCTCCTAAACAGGTGTTCTACTCTGCTAGCCAGCACCTCTCCTAAACAGGTGTTCTACTCTGCTACCCAGCACCTCTCCTAAACAGGTGTTCTACTCTGTTAGCCAGCACCTCTCCTAAACAGGTGTTCTACTCCGCTAGCCAGCACCTCTCCTAAACAGGTGTTCGACTTCGCTAGCCAGCACCTCTCCTAAACAGGTGTTCTACTCCGATAGCCAGCACCTCTCCTAAACAGGTGTTCGACGTCGCTAGCCAGCACCTCTCCTAAACAGGTGTTCTACTCTGTTACCCAGCACCTCTCCTAAACAGGTGTTCTACTCTGTTAGCCAGCACCTCTCCTAAACAGGTGTTCTACTTCGCTAGCCAGCACCTCTCCTAAACAGGTGTTCTACTCTGTTAGCCAGCACCTCTCCTAAACAGGTGTTCTACTCTGCTAGCCAGCACCTCTCCTAAACAGGTGTTCGACTCCGCTAGCCAGCACCTCTCCTAAACAGGTGTTCTACTCTGCTAGCCAGCACCTCTCCTAACCAGGTGTTCTACTCCGCTTGAGCTAGCGAACTTGCAACATTGTATAAAATATTCTTGGCCCTCAGAGTTTCCTGCTCCAGTGAGCTCGGGACAGACACAGCTGTAGGCTATTTGCGCAAGGGATAAGAAGTGGTGCTTGACTTGGGCAGGAGCTCACCGGAGCAGAGTACAGGCACCTCACATTTTCTACTGCTTGAGCTCCTGTTCCTCTTATAGAATATTAGCTCAAAAGTATTGTGGTACTCCTGCACCTAAATATAAACAGTACCAGCACCCAAAATGAGTACCGGAACCTATTTCAGCCCAAGTCAAGCACTGATAAGTAATCAGGTAGGCCTATTTTATGACGTTTCCACTAGATCAGAGCATGACATTTTTCCCTTTCACGCTGAGTGGTTATCGAAAGGGAGAGAGCTCAATAGATTTGAGGAACTATTGTAATTTTCTTACGGATGGAAAAACAGACTTAGTTTGCTTGCTGTTTGAGGTGAAGAAAACTTTGAGAAGCTCCACAGGTCATTAGGGGTGGTGCGTTAAGCCAATCAGAAATACAATCAGATCCCCAAATGGGCACATTTATATGCCTACATTTGCACACAGGCCAGGTAGCCTATAGGCCGACTTCTATGCGTAATCAGGTGGATGTCCTTCCTCAACATTGACAGGAGCGCTCCAAACAAAAGACGATGACTAAATTGACAAAACTTGTAAATGGACTGAAATAAACCAAAACTTGTTTCTCACATGTGTAGCAGGTTGTGCACTCTGCAAACAATGTGTCCACTCTGATAATGAGAACGGGAAGACTGGAATAATAATATTGAATGCATTAAAATAAATTACCGTAACCAAAGTAACAAACATTATAAATTCGAAATTATAGGAATTAACGGTAAATGTACTACTGGTGATATATGTAATAGGGAATTGATATCCACTAACAATCAAACGCAAACAATTCACACAATGAAGTTATGAAACAATTATTGTGCACAAATTGACGAGAGCGCGCATTCTGGAGAGAGAAGTGCATTGTGTATCTGGGCGCATGGTCAATCCAACGTCTGGGAGGCGAATGGCGATGCGGTACGGAGCTCGATTTGGCCTCGGCATGCCTCTGGAGGCTCCGCAATTGCGTCACACCCTCCATATGGAGCCTCCGACCACATTTTACGGATCAAGCATAAATTGGCTTTTAGTCTAGGCCTCCGCAATAGATTAGCTCACTGAGACGGCCGCAAATGTAAATATATATAAAACAATCTCGGTCGACCAAAAGCCTAACGACCAAACAATTAACCAGTCGACTAATTGGGGGCAGCCCTACATAATAGCAAGCTAGGACTGATGGTTTGGTTAGCTAAACTAGAAAGTCTGTTTGGTTACCAAGGCAACTACTGTTGCTATCTAGTAAACTTGCTAGCTACTTCAGTGGATGTTGAACACATTTCTATCTGCAAATGAACACATTTGTAGTGGTAAAAGTGCTAAATTATAGCCATGATATAAAAGGGATAATCAACTTGAGGCTCTATCCGTTCTCTGGAAAATAATGCAACTCTTTGGAAGGTTAGTTCCCACTCAGTTAGCGCGTTGTGGAACACACCTTCCACACTGTTCATTATTTTCCAGGGAACGCATAGCTCCTCGATGATTATCCCTTACATAAATGGGCTGATTATGTAATTAAAACGGGCTCAAGTCAGAGTCTCCAACAGTAGGTAACCTAAAAAGACATTCAAATGAAACAATGTCTGCGTTTACGTAGGCAACCCAATTCAGAAAATGTATTATGCTTTAAAATGCCAGGATGCCATACTCATTTCTGTGTTTTATCTAGTAGAATTCGTTGCACTGTATTGGGGAAGAGAATCATATTTCCAGACCCATGTGGTCTGACAGGTTGTACGAAAATGGCGGAAATCAACGCAATTGCGCATTAGATGACGCATTCTCAGTAGGACGTAGTGTGCTGTCATTTGTTGCTTACTGCATTCGTTTTAACTGAACAGTACGTTCTAAATAGTATGTAGTACGATTAGTACACAGTATGCAGTTTAAATAAGTAGTAGACAAGCCAGATCTGGGTCACGGCCACATTCAAACAATACCATTTTGTGAGAAAGTGGGCCAGTACGTAACCTAAAAAGACAAAAACACAAGCTAGCTAGAGACGGCTGCTGCTGCAGGTCTTAGATTGCATTTCAATCTCCGTCCTGTCAAAAATGACATTCATAATATGACGTGACATCCTGTGTTGGGGAGCAGATCCATTTTCACCTTCAAACAGTAGAAAGGGAGGTGAGGCAATCAGTTTCCCTCTCCTTCAACCTCTGTCAGCTATGATACATGCTGCCAAGGGCAACAAAAGGAGGTGGAGAGGAGAGGGGGGTGGAGAGGAGAGGGGGGTGGAGAGGAGAGGAGAGGAGGGGGGAGAGGAGAGGAGGGGGGAGAGGAAACAAAGCCACAGAACAAACGGAGGAGAAGCAGCTGGATGTCATTTCTCACAAAAGGCTGCACTTATTAGAGATAAATAGAAAAGAAAAAAAAACGAAACGTAAAAAAGGTAGCGGTGTCTGTATGTAATTCGTTTTAGAGCCGTCCTGTCAAGGGTCATCCATTATAAGCAGCTTGAAATTAATTAATGTCTTTTAATGTGTGCACCCACTACCAGGAACCAAACAAGCACATCTAATCACCAAACACTGAATACATAATATTCCAGTCATTATGACAATATTCATTACCCAAAGCTGAGGAGAAAGGAGAGAATAGTCAATAATTTACAAAAAAATAAATGTGCTGGTAGAACAGATGAATAACTAAGACACAGACGATACCAACATAACGCTACCAACATAACGCTACCAACATAACGCTAACAACATAGCGCTACCAACATAGCGCTAACAAGTCATATTTTATTCTGTATGTTTTACAAATGCATTAGCTGCGATTTACCATCTGTAAATCACAACAACAGAGCCTATTCAGAATCCTCTGGAGTAATGATTAGAAAAAAACGCATTATTCACACTGGCAAACGGAGCTAATGCTTTCCCTCTCGCAGCGAGCTACCTGAGACAAAGTGTTTCTCTAATACAATCAAATAAAAGCAGAACATTTTAATCTGAACAACTTCCAGTTCCAAAGCCACAAGGTGTGGCCCAAATGGCACCCTTTTCCCTAGTTAGTGCAATACAGCCCTATGGGCCATGGTCAAAAGTAGTGCACTATATAGAGTGCTATTTGGGCACATTGCACATTTTCCAATAAAGCCCTCTTTGAGCTCAAAACTCAGCTGTGTTCAATCTCTTCTTAATCTCCCTCTCCCTGTTATCAGCACACTGTCAATATCACACATCCAGCCTCTCTCTCTCTCTGCATCTCTTAATGTGTCTCAACAGTGAACAAAATGGGCAGGAAATCAAATGCTCTATCACATCTCTTCCACACACACACACATAAAATAGCTATGACAAACTGTCCAAATCTGGCAGCTAAACACGAGGCCATCAAGGCAGCAGTTGTTTTCAGAAGTACACCAGGAAGTCCCGATTATATTATTGAAAACATGTTTACTTATGCATGTACACTGAACAAAAATATAAACCCAACATTTAAAGTGTTGGTCCCATGTTTCATGAGCTGAAATAAAAGATCCCAGAAATGTTCCATATGCACAAAAATATTATTTATCTCAAATTTTGTGCACAAATGTGTTTACATCCCTGTTAGTGAGAATTTCTCCTTTGCCAAGATAATCCATCCACCTAACCGGTGTGGCATATCAAGAAGCTGATTAAACAGCATGATCATTACAGAGGTGCACCTTGTGCTGGGGACAATAAAACACCACTCTAAAATGTGCAGTTGTGTCACACAACACAATGCCACAGATGTCTCAAGTTTTGAGGGAGCATGCAATTGGCTTGCTAACTGCAGGAATGTCCACCATAGCTGTTGCCAGAGAATTGAATGTTCATTTCTCTACCATAAGCCGCCTCCAACGTCGTTTTAGAGAATTTGGCAGTACGTCCAACCGGCCTCACAACCGAAGACCACGTGTATGGGGTCATGTCAGCGAGCAGTTTGCTAATGTCAACGTTGTGAACATAGTGCCCCATGGTGGCGGTGGGGCTATGGTATGGGCAGGCATTTTATCGATGCCAATTTTAATGCCCAGAAATACTGTGACGAGATCCTGAGGCCCATTTCTTTTAAGGTATCCGTGACCAATGGATGCATATCTGTATTCCCAGTCATGTGAAATCCATAGATTAGGGCCTAAATAATTCATTTCAATTGATTGATTTCCTTATATGAACTGTAATTCAGTATAATATTTGAAATTGTTGCATGTTGCGTTTATATTTTTGTTCAGTATAAATTGCCTTGATTTACCCATTTCAATGAATTCACAAGCACTTGACTGACACAAATCTATGCCCGGGGAAACATTTTTAAATTGTAAAGAAGAATCAGGCAAACATTCTAGAATCAAGCAGGCATTGAGTTTTATGTTCTTAGAACGCATTAAGGGACTTACTGAAATCAATGAGGAACCTTCCAAAGCCTTGCCTTTGGTACTGAGGCATGATCATTATACAGGAGACATTGTACTTCTGCTGGCAAAGCTTTTCCTGAGGGAAGGGGAAACAGATCAAGTATGTCAGAGCTCTGCTGAAGCTGGCAATTTATTGCACCTGTCACTGTCCTTGTCTAAAGCGCGCACACACACACACGTACATGAACGCGCACAATCCCTTGTGAATACATTTAGCTTTTAAGATGAGTGATATAGCAAAGACACTGTTACTGTACTAATCATGACTTCTATAGCAAAGACACTGTTACTGCACTAATCATGACTTCTATAGCAAAGACACTGTTACTGTACTAATCATGACTTCTATAGCAAAGACACTGTTACTGCACTAATCATGACTTATATAGTAAAGACACTGTTACTGCATTACTCAAACATTAGTCAACTGGATGAAAGAAAACATTTTTCATGCTATTGAATATCATCACCTTGGAGAAGTAACCCACAAGGTGACAGCCTTTGTTGTCGTTCTTAGTTAGTATGTAAAAGAGGAAAGGCTCCACGTCGTAATATAGGGTCTTGTGATCTAGGAACAGCTTGGCTAACAGGCAGAGGTTTTGGCAGAAGAGCTTGCTGACATTTCCATCAACCTAAAAACACGGAACAAAACCAACAGTTGATTCTTTCCTCCTCCCTCAAAACCATTTCAGTCACATTTCACCATGATCATAGGGCTGCATCTCAAATTGAACTCTATTCCCTTTTAAGTGCACTGCTTTTGACCAGGGCCAATAGAGCTCTGGTTCAAAGTAGTGCACTAGATACAGTGCCTTCAGAAAGTATTCACACCCCTCGACTTTTTCTACATTTTGTTGTGTTACAAGTTGGGATTCAAATGGATTTAATTGTCTTTTATTTTGGTCAAAAATCTAAACAAAATACTCTAATGTCAAAATGGAAGACAAATTCTAACATTTGTAAAACATTTATGAAAAATAAAACACTAATATATCTTGATTACATACAGTGGGGAGAACAAGTATTTGATACACTGCCGATTTTGCAGGTTTTCCTACTTACAAAGCATGTAGAGGTCTGTAATTTTTATCATAGGTACACTTCAACTGTGAGAGACGGAATCAAAAATCCAGAAAATCACATTGTATGATTTTTAAGTAATTAATTTGCATTTTATTACATGACATAAGTATTTGATCACCTACCAACCAGTAAGAATTCCGGCTCTCACAGACCTGTTAGTTTTTCTTTAAGAAGCCCTCCTGTTCTCCACTCATTACCTGTATTAACTGCACCTGTTTGAACTCGTTACCTGTATAAAAGACACCTGTCCACACACTCAATCAAACAGACTCCAACCTCTCCACAATGGCCAAGACCAGAGAGCTGTGTAAGGACATCAGGGATAAAATTGTAGACATGCACAAGGCTGGGATGGGCTACAGGACAATAGGCAAGCAGCTTGGTGAGAAGGCAACAACTGTTAGCGCAATTATTAGAAAATGGAAGAAGTTCAAGATGACGGTCAATCACCCTCGGTCTGGGGCTCCATGCAAGGTCTCACCTCGTGGGGCATCAATGATCATGAGGAAGGTGAGGGATCAGCCCAGAACTACACGGCAGGACCTGGTCAATGACCTGAAGAGAGCTGGGACCACAGTCTCAAAGAAAACCATTAGTAACACACTCTGCCGTCATGGATTAAAATCCTGCAGTGCACGCAAGGTCCCCCTGCTCAAGCCAGCGCATGTCCAGGCCCGTCTGAAGTTTGCCAATGACCATCTGGATGATCCAGAGGAGGAATGGGAGAAGGTCATGTGGTCTGATGTTTGGAGGAAGAACAAGGATGAGTACAACCCCAAGAACACCATCCCAACCGTGAAGCATGGAGGTGAAAACATCATTCTTTGGGGATGCTTTTCTGCAAAGGGGACAGGACGACTGCACCATATTGAGGGGAGGATGGATGGGGCCATGTATCGCGAGATCTTGGCCAACAACCTCCTTCCCTCAGTAAGAGCATTGAAGATGGGTCGTGGCTGGGTCTTCCAGCATGACAACAACCCGAAACACACAGCCAGGGCAACTAAGGAGAGCTCCGTAAGAAGCATCTCAAGGTCCTGGAGTGGCCTAGCCATAGAAAATCTTTGGAGGTAGCTGAAAGTCCGTATTGCCCAGCGACAGCTCCGAAACCTGAAGGATCTGGAGAAGATCTGTATGGAGGAGTGGGCCAAAATCCCTGCTGCAGTGTGTGCAAACCTGGTCAAGACCTATAGGAAACGTATGATCTCTGTAATTGCAAACAAAGGTTTACTTAAATCAGAACTGGTTCTCAAGCAAATTAGTAAGATTGTCTCACCCAATGTTCAAGAAAGGCCTTTTTCCCTTTATTCAGATTACAACAACTCATTTGCAGTTATTTGAAAAGGAAATCATCTCCCAAATATCATTATTTCTAAAACAAGCCATAGAAAGTTGGTTGCAATTTCAATTTAATCCTCCAGAAACGACAGAACAAATAATGCAACAAATATTGTGGTTAAATTCAAATATACTTATTGACAAAAAACCTTTATTTTTTGACAGAATGTTTAAAAAAGGTATAATCTTCGTAAATGATATCATCGGTAGGACTGGTGGAGTTATGTCGCACATGCAGCTAACAAAAACATATGGAAATGTCTGCTCTACCCAAAATTAAAACCAAATAATTGCAGCCTTACCGCAAAAGTGGAAGAGGAAAGTGGAAGGGGGAGAAAGTAAGGAACTTGTCTGTCGGCCTTGCATTAAAGAACATAATTGGTTAAGGAAAACTGTGATAAATAAAAAATTATATCAGTTTCACTTAAGGACCAAAGGATTGACAGCCGTCCCATATAGATTGCAAAATAGTTGGGAAGAGATTTTTGACGTACCGATCCCATGGCATAGTGTTTATGAACTGACACGCAAAACGACACCGGATTCAAAAATTAGAATCTTTCAATTTTAATTATTAAATAAAATTCTTGCTACCAATAGAATGTTATTTATATGGGGGATACAATCTTCCCAGCTCTGCAGATTTTGCTGTGAAGAGACAGAATCATTAGATCATTTGTTTTGGTTCTGTCCATTTGTAGCTTGTTTTTGGACACAGGTCCAGGAATGGCTAAAGGATTGCAATATTTACCTGGAGCTAACCTTGCAGATAGCATTACTGGGTGATCTGAAAAGTCATAGTCAATCGATCAATAATATAATAATACTTTTAGCAAAAATGTTATTTTTAATTCACAATCTGTAGAAGCAATGAGAATAGAAAGGTTCAGAACTTTTGTAAAACATCACAGTACGGTTGAAATATATATGGCAAATAGAAATCCTATATGGATGGTGTTAAGCGATAGATGGGAGGTATTGAATAGAGTTGAAGGATGGTACTAATAACAAATAACAACAAATAATAACAAAGCTAATAATGTAAGCATACTGTGTCCATAATAAGTATATAGGTTGTATGTTGGGAGCTTTTGGGAAAGAGCACAGTTAGAAAGATATGGCATATAGAAGCAAACCGGATGAACATCATGAAAATGATCGGAGAGGTTGAGGGTAGAAGAAGTTCAGGAGCAAAAAAAAAAATATATATATATATATATAATAGAATTATTGTAAAATGAACTGTGTCAATAAGGTGTAGATAGTAAGTATAGACCGGAAGTAGAAGCCTGGGCATTGTTGTTTACTAATTTACTCCAAGTAGGGAAAGGATGGCGGGGTTGAAAAGTAATAAAGGGGAGTATATATATAAAAAAACATGGGGGATTGGAAGTGATGCAGACAATTACATTGATAGAAGATACAATATATCTGCAATATTAAGCTGATCCATCCCCCCCCCCCCCCCCCCCCCCCCAAAATAAAAAAAAATAAAAAAAATAAACAAAGGTTTCTGTACCAAATATTAAGTTCTGCTTTTCTGATGTATCAAATACTTATGTCATGCAATAAAATGCAAATTAATTACTCAAAAATCATACAATGTGATTTTCTGGATTTTTGTTTTAGATTCCGTCTCTCACAGTTGAAGTGTACCTATGATAAAAATTACAGACCTCTACATGCTTTGTAAGTAGGAAAACCTGCAAAATCGGCAGTGTATCAAATACTTGTTCTCCCCACTGTAGGTATTCGAGCTCCTAAGTCAATACATGTTAGAATCACCTTTGTCAGCGATTACAGCTGTGAGTCTTTCTGGGTAAATCTCTAAGAGCTTTGCTCACCTGGATTGTACAATTTTTGCAAATTATTCTTTATAAAATTCTTCAGCTCTGTTAAGTTGGTTGTTGATCAATGCTAGACAGCCATTTTCAAGACTTGACATAGATTTTCAAGCAGATTTAAGTCAAAACTGTAATTAGGCCACTCCGGAACATTCCATGTCGTCTTCGTAAGCAACCTCCAGTGTATATTTGTCCTTGTGTTTTAGGTTATATTCCTGCAGAAAGGTGAATTTGTATCTCAGTGTCTGTTGGAAAGCAGACTGAACCAGGTTTTCCTCTAGGATTTTGCCTGTGCTTAGCTCTATTCAGTTTATTTTTATCCAAAGACACTCCCTAGTCATTGCCGATGACAAGCCATAACATGATGCAGCCACCAGCATTCTTGAAAATATTAAGTGAGCTACTCAGTCATGTGTTGTATTGGATTTGCCCCAAACGTACAGCGAGGGAAAAAAGTATTTGATCCCCTGCTGATTTTGTACGTTTGCCCACTGACAAAGAAATAATCAGTCTATAATTTTAATTGTAGACTTATTTGAACAGCGAGAGACAGAATAACAACAAAATAATCCAGAAAAACGCATGTCAAAAATGTTATAAATTGATTTGCATTTTAATGAGGGAAATAAGTATTTGACCCCCTCTCAATCAGAAAGATTTCTGGCTCCCAGGTGTCTTTTATACAGGTAACGAGCTGAGATTAGGAGCACACTCTTAAAGGGAGTGCTCCTAATCTCAGCTTGTTACCTGTATAAAAAGACACCTGTCCACAGAAGCAATCAATCAGTTTCCAAACTCTCCACCATGGCCAAGACTAAAGAGCTCTCCAAGGATGTCAGGGAAAAGATTGTAGACCTACACAAGGCTGGAATGGGCTACAAGACCATCGCCAAGCAGCTTGGTGAGAAGGTGACAACAGTTGGTGCGATTATTTGCAAATGGAAGAAACACAAAAGAACTGTCAATCTCCCTCGGCCTGGGGCTCCATGCAAGATCTCACCTCGTGGAGTTGCAATGATCATGAGAACGGTGAGGTATCAGCCCAGAACTACACGGGAGGATCTTGTCAATGATCTCAAGGCAGCTGGGACCATAGTCACCAAGAAAACAATTGGTAACACACTACACCGTGAAGGCCTGAAATCCTGCAGCGCCCGCAAGGTCCCCCTGCTCAAGAAAGCACATATACAGGCCCGTCTGAAGTTTGCCAATGAACATATGAATGATTCAGAGGAGAACTGGGTGAAAGTGTTGTGGTCAGATGAGACCAAAATCAACTCAACTCGTCGTGTTTGGAGGAGGAGGAATGCTGCCTATGACCCCAAGAACACCATCCCCACCGTCAAACATAGAGGTGGAAACATTATGCTTTAGGGGTGTCTTTCTGCTAAGTGGACAGGACAACTTCACCGCATCAAAGGGACGATGGACGGGGCCATGTACCGTCAAATCTTGGGTGAGAACCTCCTTCCCTCAGCCAGGGCATTGAAAATGGGTCGTGGATGGGTATTCCAGCATGACAATGACCCAAAACACACGGCCAAGGCAACAAAGGAGTGGCTCAAGAAGAAGCACATTAAGGTCCTGGAGTGGCCTAGCCAGTCTCCAGACCTTAATCCCATAGAAAATATGTGGAGGGAGCTGAAGGTTCGAGTTGCCAAACGTCAGCCTCGAAACCTTAATGACTTGGAGAAGATCTGCAAAGAGGAGTGGAACAAAATACCTCCTGAGATGTGTGCAAACCTGGTGGCCAACTGCAAGAAACGTCTGACCTCTGTGATTGCCAACAAGGGTTTTGCCACCAAGTACTAAGTCATGTTTTGCAGAGGGGTCAAATACTTATTTCCCTCATTAAAATGCAAATCAATTCATAACATTTTTGACATGCGTTTTTCTGGATTTATGTTGTTGTTATTCTGTCTCTCACTGTTCAAATAAACCTACCATTAAAATTATAAACTGATCATGTCTTTGTCAGTGGGCAAACGTACAAAATCAGCAGGGGATCAAATACTTTTTCCCCCTCGCTGTAACACATTGTATTCAGGACATAAAGTTAATTTCTTTGCCACATTTTTTGCAGTTTTACTTTAGTGTCTTGTTGCATGTTTTGGTATATTTATGTTCTGTACAGGCTTCCTTATTTTCACGCTGTCATTTAGGTTAGTATTGTGGAGTAACTACAATGTTGTTGATCCATCCTCAGTTTTCTCCTATCACAGCCATTAAATTCTGTCACTAGTTTAAAGTCACCATTGGTCTCATGGTGAAATCGCCAGGCATTACTGGAACCATGTCGTCCAAAAAATGTATACTTTTGAATCATCTGTCCATAGAACGTTCTTCCAAGAGTCTTGATGATCATCCAGGTGCTTTTTGGCAAACCTGAGTCAACTTTTTGGACGAGATGGGTCCCATTATGCCTGGCGAAAACCAAACACTGCATTCCACAGTAAGAACATCATACCAAAGGTCAAGCATGGTGGTGGTGGTGTGATGGTTTGGGGATGCTTTGATGCCTCAGGACCTGGACGACTTGCCTTAATAGAAGGAACCATGAATTCTGCTCTGTATCAGAGAATTCTACAGGAGAATGTCAGACCATCCGTCTGTGAGCTGAAGCTGAAGCGCAGCTGGGTCATGCAGCAAGACAATGATCCAAAACACACAATCCAGTCTACATGAAAATTGCTAAAAAGCAACAAATTGGAAATTTTGGAATGGCCTAGTCAAAGTCCAGACCTAATCCCAATTGAGATGTTGTGGCAGGACTTGAAACGAGCAGTTCATGCTTGAAAACCCACACGTCACTGAGTTAAAGCAGTTCTGCATGGAAGAGTGTAAATGTAAGAGTGGGCCAAAATTCCTCCACAGCGACGTGAGAGACTGATCAACAACTACAGGAAGCATTTGGTTGGAGTCATTGCAGCTTAAGGTGGCACAACCAGTTATTGAGTGTAAGGGGGCAATTACTTTTTCACACAGGGGAATTGGGTGTTGCATAACTTTGTTTATGAAATAAATATGTAATTGTTGTGTTATTTGTTCACTTATGTTCCCTTTATCTAATATTAGGTTTTGGTTGAAGATCTGATAATATTCAGTATCACAAATATGCAAAAGTAGAGAAAATTAGAAAGGGGGCAAATACTTTTTCATAGCACTGTGTATATATATATATATATATATTATATATATATATATATATATATATATATAGATATGTCAAGAGTAGTGCACTATATATAGGGAATATGCAGCCATTGCTTTACTACTGTGAAGAGTGACCTCTGACCTCGAACACTGAAAGGTCGTCCTTCCTGTAAATCTCATTGGCTGGAGGGTGAAAGCAACCACACTTCATGGTGTGTCGATTGAGGATGTTCCTGCTCCTCATGTACTTCAGACAGAACTCACACAGGTAAAGTTTTTGCAACCTGCCAACGACAGAGACAACAAGACAATGGTTAGACGACCATTTTTATTTCAGCTTGCAAATTAAAAGCCTAGAAAAAAACAGTACATTCGCACACTGGTATAATGCTCTCAAAGTACAGTATTTCTATAGGACTAGGACAATGTTTTCGAAACTGGATCTAATAACAAGCCTAGCATTGATTTGTCCTAATTTGACTGAGTAAAACATTAAGCCTACCTTGAGTATTCAGGTGGGTAAGGCGAAGAGTACCAGGTTTGGATTTCATACTTCCCAAACTCGATGACGGCAGGGTATCGTCCAGAGTCAGTGATGGTCATGGTTCCATTTCTCTAAACATGACAAAACAAAATGGCTCAATGTCGTACCACAAGCATTCAAACAGTCTGACATAGGCAGTATCTTAAACAGCAACTTCAACAATGGGATGTGGACCCTTCGCTTCTTGACACTAAACTACTTTTCAGGTCTGAAAACATCTGACAAACTTTCATTTAGGGCTTGTAATGTTAAGTTACAGGCTAAATCTAACTTGTATTGATTAGATTATAGGTGTGAGAAGTGTGATTGAGAGAGGTTCTTTTGGACAGTTCCCTCACCTGCGACGAGAGCTCTTGGACCTGTGAGAATATCTCCACGTCTTCCTCTGTGACGTGTTCCCTGGAGACCGCTACAAAGCCGGGTTCCTGCTTCACCCTCAGCCCCCCTTCACTGCCTGTTACAGAAACCAAACATTACAATCTGTTAGTCACAGTAACCAACCACCATGTTAAAGTCACAGTAACCAACCACCATGTTAAAGTCACAGTAACCAACCACCATGTTAAAGTCACAGTAACCAAACAGCCTGTTACGGTCACAGTAACCAAACAGCCTGTTACGGTCACAGTAACCCAGGGATGGGCATCTGGCCCGCGCCCCTCTTTTGTAGGTCCGTGGATCTATTTCCAAAAATAGGGCCACTGAACAAAAACATAAAAAACACACACACACACACACACACTTATATATATATATATATATATATATATATATATATATATATATATATATATATAAACTCAGCAAAAAAAGAAACTTCCCTTTTTCAGGACCCTGTCTTTCAAAGATAAAAATCTAAATAACTTCACAGATCTTCATTGTAAAGGGTTTAAACACTTTTTCCCATGCTTGTTCAATGAACCATAAACAATTAATGAACATGCACCTGTGGAACGGTCGTTAAGACACTAACAGCTTACAGAC